GGCCTTAAACCCGCATCCTGTAACACTCCTGTGGGGTTTTTCTTCAGTGCTGGTGTGGTGAGGCCTTTACCCACAGGCTTCTAAAGGGATGCGGCCTGGCGTGGAGAACATCGCTGCCAGCCCACTAACTTGAAATCTCACAGAAAGTGGTGTTTTGTGAACGTGTTGTTCACAGGAAACATTTTCCTGTATGCAGGAAAGCATACTCTATATATAGTAAAATATACATAGGCGTTCTCAGCCTTTCTCATAGACGTTCTTCCCTGGTGGACACGAACGTTTCATTCGGGCTGTGAATCGGTCGGGACCCAGTGCTTTTACGAAAATAAGCGCTCATCATTAATTATTTACATAAAATGGAAAAATGAGGGAATTAGGAAGAAATGCTGAGAGTAAACACAAGGCTTTTAAGAGCCTGAATTCAAAATTGCTCTGAAAAGCGGTTTGGAAATAGATATTTTTAGAAATATCCAATTTATTCTGGAACAGGGAAAATTTCAGCATTCCAGAGATGAAACATGCCACCTGGTTGTCTGCAGCTGTCCTGCCCGGCAGCTCGGGAGACCGCAAACTTTGGGCTGTGACATGTATTCGACACAGACGTATAGCTGGGGTTTCTTTTGTTTGCCCTGCGTCTATCTGGGTATCTAATCCGGGCCGTGTTGTGGTACATCTGACGACCGATCATTCCACAGCGATAAGCCGCGCTTCTGATCTGCAGCGTGGATCCAGCGAGAATACGTAGTGTGCTATTGTGGCAGATGAAAGCGGTGGAAGTGGGCCAAATTCAAGCTGTTTTCCATTGCATCTGATCAGCAGATCCTATGGAGGGAATTTGCCTGCTGTGAATATTTGATTCTCGCTAGCTTGAACTATCTTGTGTGCTGGCAGTGCTACTGTGTGAATTTGCGGTGGCTTTCCAGGGTGTCTGTCCTACACAACTGCCAATTTCTGTTGTTTTTTATGGGATTTAGGGTTTTGTGCTCCACTTCGTGTGCAAGGAAAATAACCCAAAGCTATACAATGAACATTTTTTTCGATCTATACATTATATACATTACCCATCTTTTAAAAAACAAACCCAAATATTGTAAGTGAGTATCGTAATCTCCCTCCCTGCACCTTTATGGGGGTGCAGTCCCTCTACCTCCATTCCCGTATGCATTATCTATGGTTGGTTATGCATTATGCTGAAAGGGTTTTGTAGAGGTGAGGTTGTACGTTGCACCCACATGTGAGTTGCACACCGGTGTAAATGGCCAGGTGATGGTATTGCAATGCAGCATGAGAGCAGGAGCAAACTGGGAACATGTTCAGGCTTTTATTCCCTTCTTCCCAGGGTCGGGGCTGAGCTTCATGCTCCCTGCTGACCCCCGGAGCCAGTGCCCTGCACTTCTGATTGTCTATCCCACCTCCTTCCCATCCCTTCCTGCTGGGCCATGGCAGTCTTTGCCCGTGAAAACTCGTCTTTTGTGTTGGTTAATTTTTCTGTTCTGAAATTTATGATAGCAAAACATTTTAATTGATAAATTTTGCATTTCCAACATCTGTGAGTAAGTTTCATTGCTTTTACAGTGCTGACCTAATAGCAACTGTCAGGGCTCTGCTTAGGCAAGCACAAAGCATTTAGTTTTCAACTTGTCAGTGTATCCTGTGCTTTAGCCAGTGTGTCCTTTATCTGTCACCACACTGGAGCATTTGTCTTCTGTAAGCAACCTGTTTATAGCTTAGGTTATTTTACAGATAAAAGCTGCGTTTCTGTTCTAAAATCTTGTACAGCTTGCAAAAGAAATTCAGGCTGTAATCTTTAACTCACTCTTCCTCTGGGTATACAAAGGACAAAACGAGAAGATGCTTGATTGAAGTGAGTCACTGACTAGTGGTGTGAACCAAAACCACAAGAAGGCAGCAGGAGACAGTTGTGGGTCCCCCGGGCATGAAGGATATGATGTGCTGACCAAGCAACTGATCCTCCATCTGCTCCAGCTTGTGACTGCAGCCAGTAACCGCTCAGAGAAAGGCATTATCATCTCCCTGTAAGGTATTAAGAAAATCGTGTGTTACTGCCTTGTAGGAGGGACCGAATTCTGGTCCTGTGCCCATATGTGTATGGGGCAGGGAGTGTTGTTGTCTTTGAGCCCACTGTAAAAGACACCGCCCTGCTAACTGAGGCAGCCCAGCTGACTGGGCTGCGATCCTCACCACTGCACTGTGACCCACTTGCGTGACCCATTTAACTTTGCCAAGTTGTACGGAGCTGGACATGCACGCTAGCTGTGTGTTTTCAGTCCTTTATTGAAGGTAAAAAGGGACATTTTAGACACATCGCTGCTTGTGTGCAGCACTGTTTGTTTTTTGTTTTTTTTTTTTTCCTTCTTTAGTTACTTCATCAGCAGCAAAAAAGAGCTGCTTTACAATAGGCGATTACAAAAAGTGAGTAGGTAGTGCTCACAGATGAGGAACTGTATTTTCTCTCAAAAAATGTAAACAAAATCTTCTGAGAACTGAAAAAATCAGGACTTGGCCAGTGAACGGTGTAGTAATCCAGAGAGAAGGCTTTCCTGGGAGCGGGGTGGTAACGATAAGACTCCTTTCCCCTTTTAGTGATTTAAGAGTGCTGTTCTCCAGTGTCTTAATGGAAGTGACAAATACAAGTTTCAACTGTACTGAAGCAAACCAGGAAAAACTTTTGTAGTATTGTGAAGTACATTTTGGCTTGGGAATAGACAGGATAGACAGGTCTACCTGAATATCTACCACTTGAAAACAATTTTTGTTGTTGTTGTTTTATCCTTTTAAATAAGTTGCCATTTTTAGGACCATTGAGAAATAAATACTCTGAGACGCTTAACAGAAGCGAAAACTTCTTTCTGTGTTCAGTGATTGCATCTTGTTGACATGCATGGTTATTTGTGCCAATAATAAGGGACCAGCTTCCCAAGGGCTATGGTGTTAGTGACTGCCGGCAAATGTTATTTTTATGATGACCATCAAAATGAAAGCATGTACAAAAGCAGGCATAAGGTTGTGACACTGTGATTTTTATTTTGAGAAGCGGACATTTGTTCATCAGCAGAAGAACTGAGAGCCCAAAGTAAATTGCTGCCAAATGACTGATATTTTCATTCCTGCTTATCATAACTTGGATGTGAACTTTTTGGCATACGGATGGGTGCAATTAGTTATCCCCAGAGTTTCCCCTCCCTTGATTGTTTTCTGAACCTATTCGGTTACTGTGTCCTGTATGTCCTCTGTATTTTTGTTAGGAAATGTTGTTGGGAACTTCTTTTTTCAAATGCTTTTGCATTTTTATTAGATTTACACATCGCTCCACCCACCATTTGGAAATGACCAGAACTGTCCGCCTTCAAAGGCTAAACACAAGAGTTATTCATGTTGCAGTTGGAAATACTGCGGAAAAATTATCATGCAAACAGTAAGCCAGATGGAGAATTTTACAAGCATCTTTTCATGTCATGAATGATGCTGTCTCTCTAGGTTATGGGCTTTCTGCTCTCCCGACTGCTGTTCCTTTCCCTCTGGCTCCCCTCCAGAGCTGTTAAGTTTCAGCCAGGGAAGAAAGGGAGATTTGGACTCCTCTAAATTTCCAGGTCCGTATTTTTTTTGCAGGGTGGCTGGTGACAGCAAGCTTTGTGCTTGAGGCTGCTGGCACGCAGGGAGCCCTCGCGATTAGCATGCTGATGGCTGCGCCCTGGCAGCGTAAAGGGGGCTGCGTCAGGAGCACACCAACAAGAGCCTGGCAGCAGACGTGGGGACAGCTCTGGGCTCCTGTCGCACGCAGGGGTAGCCGGGAGCTGAGAGCTGCCCGGTCTCTTCAGGCCTTTGCTTCCCAAGTTTTATACAGGTGGGAGTCTGTCCTTCAGGTGTCCGCCGCACACTGTGGGGCTTCTCCTCCTAACTGCTCACAGGGCAGGTCACCTCCTGCTGGAGGTTTTAGATGAGAGGCCCTAGAGAATATCAAGCTGTGCGTTATATGTCCACACCTGTCCACACACGTACCATTGCAGCTGCTGAGTTAGCAGTGTACACATCTGGTAACTTGTTCACTTGATCTTCAGCTCTTATCTATATAAGAAAGCTTCACTGGTTCCGTAAAGAGGTGGTGGTATATGTGCAAATGTGTAAGTATAAAATACACATTAAACACCTGTGCACACATACAGATTTAATCCCTCTGCGCAAACCCATGTGCCATCAGCCCTCTTTGGTTTGAAAGAAGCTTGCATCCGCTTGGGCTTAATTTCAGTTATTGATTAAGGCAACAGTAAGTCAAACATCAGTAAGTTTGATTATTGATCATTGATTAATGCAACAATAAGTGTAAATCCTCCATGAATGGTATTACAAAGTTGATGTTGCTTCTGCTTACGGACAGTGGTTATCTAAAGTATAACTTTAAATTTCTTATTTGTGGAGGGAGTACCTGCCTCTTTTCCCAAAGAGGTTTTTCTGACAGCTTAAGGTCAGAGGGGCAAGGAAATGTTTGTGGGAAATAGGAATAACTGGCTTGTGTTTGTATTGACATGCAGAACGCTTTCTGAACAAACTGTTTGCTTAATTGGTCAAAGGATGTTCATGTTCCATACCTGCCTTTCCCACTTGTTTCAGAAATCCAGACATTTCTTTTCTGCCTTGTAACATGCTGAACTTCTGCTGGCAGCCTACAGCAGTAGGTGGGGAAATTATTAGGGCCTTTTCGTGTAAAGAAGTTGCCAACATCTGGGTTTGGAAAGAGAAAATTCAACAAACTTGTTGCAGTTAGTATATATATATATAGTTTGATTTCATATTTATCTGGTTTTCAAGCACAACACATGCTGTCTTACTGAATTATGTGACTGGCAATGGCTTTGGTTCTTCATCTAGCTAATGATGCAACTCAGTGAGCTGTTACTGAATTAGGGAGATGCTGGTTCAGTAAGATTACCTTTTCAAATGAAGAAAAGTTAAAAGTAATTTTTTTTGGTGCCTTGTTTCAGGACAACATCATCTTATTCTTAAGAGGCTGCAAAGAGCTGGGACTTAAAGAATCTCAGCTGTTTGATCCTGGTGACCTGCAGGACACATCGAACAGAGTGACTGTCAAGTAAGTACAACAGCAGTTTGTGTTGAGCATGTTACACTCTCAGATGCATGTGACTAGATGGTAAATATTTGAGGATGAGCAAAAAAGGTACAGAACTGTCACATGTATAAAGCAAATAAGAAACTGAGATTTTTGAAACTTCCAGTGCTGGGAAGAATACATCGTTCTCCTCAACAGTCTTTCTCTAAGTGTTATTTTTCCCAAAGAGATCAACCACAGCTCTTTTAAAATACTGATTTAGTTCAAACAAAGAGACTGTGTGGGACATACATGGTTTGTGAGTTTAAATTGATAGCATTTTTAGTTTATCCAATTTCTGAACAATGTAGACTGTCAAAAAAAAAAAACACTTCTCTGTTATCACAGATTAAATTATTTTGAAGATGCATTATAAGACATTTATAGGTCTCAGACTCAACAAGGTGCAGACAATGAGCATGGTCTGTTTATTTTCTATCAAGAACAATAGGTTGTGACATGGCATTTGGGCTGAGGGCTTCCGTTCAAACTGCATGAGCTGGAAACGCCACAGTTTAGATTTTTATTTTATTTTTTTACCAAAACCACACACCTACTGCCACACAGATTACCACACACATATCAAGAGATTCTTCTTGCTAATAACTAATTAATAATTAATTCACTCTCTCTTTTTTTTTTTGTCTGAAATGATTTTTAAAACTTTCTAGCTCCAAAATTAATAGCTTTTTGCCATGGTTTGTACACATCCCTTATAACGAGGTGTTCAGACTCTAATGCTTGTATTTTCAACATTTTATACTACAAAGTGATGTGAAGTATGGATATGAAATCGGCAGAGAAAGAATTACTGACTAGCCTAAGGTTGTAGAGAGCAGGCTTCAGTTGAAGTCTGTGCAGTCACAGATTGAGGTCTTATATGGAAAATGATCCTTTCAGGGAAGATGTTGCCATTGTGTAGGAACAGTCAAACTCCTTTTTTTACTCATTTATACGAGTACCAGTCAAGTTCCTCACCCCCAAAAAGCAAGAGCACCCACTGTGATTTATAAAATTAACAAGATTTTTAGTTGTTTTGGTCATGAAGTTTTCATGAATTCTTCAGGTCTGTCATGTTATACTAAAAAGTTATTGCTCCACAGACAGGCAAATACTGCTGAGTTGATTGAATGGCCTTGGTTCATTTGGCCAGAAAGATTTGGCCAAAAATAATCACTAATGAAATCCTGGTCAGACATATCCATTTTAGCAAAGTATATGGAAACAATTTACTGAATTTCAGCGGCATTCTAGGTTTTTTTTTTCCCTTCTGGCACTGAAAGCTGGGCAAGTTTTCTTGGTGTTCAGCACTGTCTGGGAAAATTCAAAGGTTCTGAAAAATCAAACTGGCCACTTTCCTTGCTTTGAGGAATAGTCTCCCGCTTTTTGCTCCTTTCCAAGTTTCTGGCTCCGAGTCTGAGGCACTTCTTGTATGTACATACCAGTAGAGTACACAGCACCAGAGGGGACCGTGTAATGAGCCTGCAATGAGGTTTTCCCAGCCTAGTTCTAAATCTGGTAATCCTGCCATGAAGGAGGTTCCTCGTCATGTCCTGTAAAATCATGGCAACGAGTAGCTGGAGAGAGCTGCAAAACAACCCCTAATCTCCATACAAAACCAGAGATAAATGGTCGTTATAAGAAGCTGGATCTTTTAGAGGTGAGGAGAGCAGAGCAGCTCGGAGGAAGCAGGTTGGAGGCTGGGGCTCGCATGCAGCTCCAAGGAGAGCTGTCCAGCATGTAAGCAACTTCCACCAGGAGTAATAAACTGCAGAGCTACCTTGGCCCTCAGCTGCGTATGATGCTCGATAGATGTGAAGTGTCTCACTGGCATGGATTTTTTTCTCCCATCAGCTCTTCAGAGAAAGCAGCCGTGGAAATGAGCCAAATGTTTTTCTAGTACTGTCCAAGTTCATGCTGAGTAACCGAGAGAGGTGTACAAGCCAAGTCCATGACTTTTGTAGAGAAATATGTTCAAGACTGTCTTCTGCTAGCTAGATCTCAAGTATAAAGGTGATTTTTCCCTCTTCGAAGACTTTTTTTTTTTTTAACACAGTAAAAAAGGTATTTGTTCAGTGGTAAAGGACAAATATGACATTATTGCACATGATTAACGTAATGACAGTTCTTAACCTTTTTTCATATAGGTGCTAATTGAAGTAGGTATTAGATCTATTTTCTTTGGATCATTCAGCTTATAAAGGTTATGAGCTAATGCTGTAAGGAATTTCTTCTTGACTTGTTAAATAAGACCTTTTTCCACTGCTATTTTATTAAGAAAAAAATAGTACTTTTTTTTAGCATGTAGGTATTGATGGATAAAATTTTGGCTTGAAAAAGATATCAAAAGTTCTTCATTTATGTGTTGGCCTATATTTAAGTTTTTGTTATTCTCACAGATTTAAGTACATTTATTTTTGTTTTTGTCAGTTAACCTTTAATATTGACGTAATGTTATAGTAGACAGCAATTCTGTTATACAATAATCAGGAGACAATCTGTACTAAACCTGAAATATTCATTTATTTTTTAGCATCTAAATGTGATACACATTTCCTTCATTCCTTTTTTTTTAATGATTTCTCTGCTGAATTTTGAAATGTTGTTTATGTTTGTGCAAACATTCTGCTGTGTTGTTTCTAACAAACTTACTCCCTTTTTGATAAATGTTAGTGAAAAATAAATTGAGAAGGATGCCTATGTTGAGTCTGAGTGCTCGAGTATACAGTCAGACAGTAGAATATGCTTTCCTCAGCAGGCTCTGTTGTAAGTGGCAGGATCTTTATTGCTTTACCTCTCTGCTTTGTTCTTTGTGGTGCTTGTTTCTACAGAAACACCTGCTATATTTCATTAGTGCTTGGTGTTGATTTCCTTGGAGTCATATGCATGTTCAGTTGCTTTCAGAATCTGTATGGGTTGCATGATTTACCACGGAGCAGAACCTGACTATTGGATTACTGCAGAGTGGATTTTAGCAGTGAGGTCTTTGGTCTTCTCTTTTGAACAAATCAGCACCTCTGTTTAAAGGAAATATTCTTGGCTCTGTCCTACTTTACTGTGGGACCATTACAAACTCATTTTCTTTTGTACTTCCAGAATTATAATTTAATGATTGAAGTAATGGTGACAAAATACTCCCACGTTATGAATAAATGAATGTGTGAACTACATCTTCTTAGCTTTCATGTGTTTCCAGCCAGCAGAAGTATTCTGCAGACTTTTGTTAGGGAAAACATGATCTGCTATGTACACGCTCTTGAAAAGTGTGTCTGTTTTCTGATTTTTTTTTTCCTCTTTCTTTTTTGTGTGTGTGCGTGTGCAACCAGGAACATTGACTGTAGTAGGAAGCTGAAAAATGTAAGTACATGACCTGGAGTATTTTTTTTTGTCTGGTTTACCTTGTATTTGGCCTGAGCTAGAACAGTAAAAACCCTGTATAGCTGAGTATCACTGAGAGGTCCTGAATACAAATCTAACTGGGTTGTTCTGGAAACATAGGTAGAGCAGCTATGGCAAAGCAGCCTTACAGGAGAAATAAAACAGAGAATGTCTGCTTAGATAAAGAAATAAGCAAACTGATCTCTGTGCTGTCTACTGTGGGATGACTTTCAGTGGGAATGGCCTGACTCGCCCATGAAGCTACTGCTTTGAAACCTTTCATGGCTATATAGACATAAAGTGAATTTGCACAAAGGATTTAAAATGAAGCAAATTACCTTTCCATCTGCATACAAATTTTCATTGAGATTTGCTAGCTTTCTTGGTTTTTTTTTCCAAATAAATGTTTTCCCAGAAAGGCTAATTCCATTTAACTTTAATTTCTTGCTGATTTGAACTAATGGCAATGGTAATGGATTCTGTAATTGTTAAGTGGAAAATAAAATGGCTAAACTTTGCTGAACTCAGAGTTAGGTATTCTTCTAAAGCCTAGCAAGCTCTAGCTCCTTAGTCAGCTGTAAACTGCTATAAATTCAATTTTATATTTGGCTTACATCCCTATAAACTGCTAGGAAATGCCAAGACCTTTTCCTAATAACTTCGCAAGCCAGTAATCATGACTGCAGGTTTAAAAAAAAAAAAGAAAAGAAAAGAAAAGAAAAACTATTTTGTTCTGTCTTTCCCACCATCATTAAAGTAATATCTTCTGCATCTGACACGCAAAGTTGTAGGGGAAGAGTTCAGCTTTCAGCATTTTAGCACTCTTCTGGGTGCTGGCTATGTGTATTTGTATAGATGTGTCATTGCAAAGGTAAGGTTTCAAAAGTGTTCTCCACAGTGTGTTTGTGGGCAATGTGTACTTTCCAGGTGCACAGTACTGCAATCTCGGCTTGCAGCCAATTGGAATTGCTTGCAAATGTGTCATTATTTTTGGGGGGGGGAAAAAAAAAAAAAGCCATGGATAAAGAAAGGCAGAAGATAGAAGGTGACCAAATGCTAGCAGAAGTAAATAAAAATCCCACAACCTTCATCAGAGAACAGAATGGCTAAATGAATTGGCCAGCTTCCTCGTTGCTAGGAGTGCTAGATTGGCAAGTGTTTCCACTTAACTTGAGAACATGTACGGTAAGGGATCTTTACATAAATTTGATGTTCTGTGTTGAGTAGTGATGGTTGAAGGAAAATTGTTCGGATACTTATTTTTTTCAAGACAAAAAAATGAATATTGACAAAACCACCTTGTTTTCCTCAGGACAGTAGTATCAATTTGGATATAATCTTAAAAATGAGGAAAAAAAAAATTGAACTGTATAAAAAACTCTATGCAATTAATTTAATGGCATATATATTATTTATATTGTGCACCACGGTTGTGTTTTTAAACAGACAATCTGCATGCCACATGCAGTATTTTCTGGCAGGGCCTCAGCTGAAGTGCTGTGTGTGACTTTGGATATCACACTTGTAGGAAGGACAGAGATGGTAGAGAAAGTTGGTTGAAAAAGGATAATCAGGAGCCTAGTATATGTGACTGAGGAGGAAGTACTGAAGGAATTTGAGTGCGTGTTTTAGGGAAAGGTCTGGCAGAGATGCCTGTCCCCACCACCCCCATAGGTTTTCTTGTAGCCCTATTTCTTTAATTCGTTTTATAGTATAAACTATATGGGCTTGTCCCATCAGTACATAAAGTAATGTACTTCCATTTATTTCACTTTATAAGATGATTAATGGCAGCTATTAAAGGCAATTATCATTTATTATTGTTTGCACATCTTTTCCACATCAAACTATTTCCTGATTGTTCTGCAGTTAAATATGTTGCTATGTCATGGAATAGCCAGAAGTAACGAGCACTACATGAGAAAATGCCGTAAGTTCTGAGGTGGTGCTTTGATATTTTTAACCAGTGCAAAACACAGACATGAATTTCCTTAGATGAACAGTTTCCAATCCAAGTTGCTGCTGCACAGGTACCTTTAAAGATATTGCAGCTAGATAAGTGGAGACACATGTGGGTCTAGAGGACTGTTTGCTTTCCTTGCGTGACCTCAATAGTGGTGCTTTTGGAGGTGTTGGATGTGACCATCCTGAGCCTCTTAATTTCTCCTTCCCTAAAACAACTGCAGACCCAGCCATGTCAGATCAGATTTCTTTGCTACCTAAAGGAGTGAGAGGGTATATAAACATTTGCAAGTGCAATTCTTGGCTTGTCTTCTGTACTAGTTTTGAATTGACTTTGGAATTACGGATAGACATCGTCAGAACTTGAATGCAACCACTAACTCTTTCCAGTTTAGTGTAATGGAAACAATCAGATGCTCATGGTTTTTGATTAATCTTGGGCTGAGCATTTTTTTAAGCTAACAGATCACTGGGAATAAATGTTCCTGTATCAATTGATAAACTATGTTAAGATGATTAAAAATGGAATTACCTTTTCTTTACTTGAAATAGACGCAAACACATTCTATGTCTGGTGTTTGCTTTCCAGGCAGACATGACAGTTCCATTTTTTATAAAAGCAATACCAGGAATATAACGCGTTAAGTTACATGATTAAATTTTCATAGTTGCCTGATGTATTTATGCTTAGCCATTGACAGACACTTCCCTTTCAATGGAGGTTTATAACAAAGTCTTGTACTGCTGTGTGGTTTAGAATAAATGAGAAATGCTTAAGGGAAGTAAATTAAGCTAAGTAACTGTGAGGATGGCTTCAATTAATTCTTATTAACTTCTGCAGGTATTAGTCACCATTTATTGGCTAGGGAAAGCGGCAAACAGCTGCACGTCATATAGTGGATCAACCCTGAACCTGAAGGAGTTTGAAGGTTTGCTGGCACAAATGAGAAAGGTATTGTTTTGTTACATTTTGGGAATGGGGATTTAGTTGAAATTGTTATTCCTGTGAATAACCTGTTTGGTGCTAAGTATAAGAGAGATGATGGGCTGGAGTATAAATTACTTAGCAAACCCCTGACTCCTTTGAAAATGTGTCTGACTCTTCCATGCCATAAACATGACTTTCTTTGGCAGCCAGCTTGGTGGTGATATTAATGATGCAGCACTTGATGTGAAGCAGGGCTTTAGAATTGTCATGTGTCTCTGTTGTCTTCATTTCCTTAGTTTTTGGTTTGAATTATTTTCATTTATGAATTTATGACACAGAGTTTCAAGCTAGAGGAGTTAAGACTCGAAAGTAAGCTGGCAGGACTTATAGGAGCAGATTTCTTTTCTTTAAAACACTCATTCTCATGTTCTCATGGGTAGCTTTTTTTTTTTTTTTTTTTTGAGTTGCAACATAAAGCATGAAACAGAAGTATCTAAATAAAGCTGACGGATAGAAGGAAGAGATGATGTTTTACAAAGGGCATGGTGGTTTCTGAAGAACTGAACTCTGTTGGAAAGGTTGGAAAGGAAAAGTTGTCATTGCTGTAGAGTGGTCTGGGGATTTGTGGTTGCGTGGTGGAGCATGGTTGCAACCTGGGACACTTAACCTCAGTAGTGGTTAGCGTTGGTATCTGAGCATGCATTTACTGGGGGTGACAGCAGCAAGGAGTGGGCACGTAAGAAGATGGAAGCACCCAGTATTGTGTGTCTTGGACAAACAGCTCGTGAAATGATGTGAAATACATTCCGCAGCTCCCAAACAGCTTTATGCCTGCCACTCCTTCCCCATCTCATGTACCTGCCGAGCCACCATGGGCAGTAGGTCTGGGGTCAAAACCTCTTTGCTCATTACTGTCCACAAGCTGTGTGCTCCTACGTCTGCAGCAGCTGCAGCTCTTCACTCAGGGGTCTCAGAGGGCCCGCAATGAGCTGTCACTAGACAGGAAGAAATATTTGGCTGACTGATAGCAGTTTCTACATCCTAGTGTGACAAGAGAACCCTAATTAGACTGATAAAATCACTGTTCGTGAGCCCAGTTTCTGTGGAAAAAAAAAAAAAAAAAAAAGGAAATGGGGAGAGAAGGGAACTTCCTGCTTCTCTGTAGAGATTTATTTTGTTCTTCATTTGACAAGGCCTGCACTAATCACTCGGGACTTTGCCATGTGAGTGATATCGCTGAGACTAAGCAATAAAGAAATTAAGTTTATACTTGAGTTGTTTCCAAATAGAAGGTGCAAGAAGGAGCAGTTGCCCCTCCAAAGTCTGAAACCCAAAAGGTGAAACAAAGGTGGGCAGTGGAGCTACGGCAGAAGTGCAGGTTTTTATAATGTTAGTGCTATGGCATCATAGTTTCTTTTTTAATTTTTTATCTCACAGCATCAGGGTCCTTTTTCTTCAGGCCATATCTATGCACCTAATTATCCATTAGACAGTTTTGGAGGTCTCCTTGAGCCCTTTTGTGGGACGAAGAAGGCTGGCCCCAGAAGGCAGGGTTCTCCGCAGAGCTGACAGCGGAGCGCCTGGCCGGCAGAGCCGAGTGCTGCAGGTTGAAGACAAAAGCAAGAGTCTGGGGCTTGATTTGTTGCAGATGTTGGAACGGGGAGCGGAGCAGAGATCCCATAAAAGCTGGAAGCTACATACTCCTTTAATGTAAAAACAGCTCTTTTCAGTCCTGAAAAGTCTGCTCAGGTGGTGCTGATACGAGGGCCACTGGCGACTCATTTTGAGCTCACCTCTCTACTCTGTGCCCCTGTGGTATTCCACTTTGGCTCCTGTGGCCTTCTCTGTTACTGAATTTGAAGAGGATTTGGTCGTAAAATAGAACATGTTAATCATGCTGTGTAATGCTCTGATGTTCTTTATAGCTGAGCTTGAGTGATGAAAAGACACTTTATCACATTCTCTACTGGCGTTTTTTTCCACAGAATTTAATAATTAAATCTACCATAAATTCAGCCTGTTTTAGTTCTTCTGCTATAAATCCTCCCTGCCCTTCTTTTTTAATAAGCAAATCAAAAGAGCTCAGATGTAAGCTGTCTTGGCTTCATCTTTTTCTACTTCTCATACTGAAAGGGCTATTCATTTCTAATTTTATTCCTGCTACTCTGTTTTTAATTTTATTAACCATTTGGATACACGTTCCTCTTTGCTTTCCAACTGGAAGTTCCCAATGACAAAACATCCATGGCTTTTTGATTATATTTAACGGGGGGAAGTTCCTGCAGAAACGCATCTTACATTTGGCAGTCCCGCTTTTGCTACCACACAGCGACGTGCCATGTTTTGAATTAGCTAATGTGAAAGGCTGGTTGTGCGCTGTCGGGCCTGCAGATAACCACCTTCTTTTTTTCCCACTGATAACATTTGGGAGATGACGTTTGTGCAGAGCAGGTACCCGTCTGGCAGGCGGTGTTTGGTGGGGAGGGTGGTTTGCCAAGGGGAAGGCCGTAAAGAGCATGTTTGCAGAAGTCTCGGCCACCATCCTGGTGCCTGCCTCCTAATTCCTGGTGAGCTGCACGCAGAATTAGCATAAACAGGCCTTTGAAAGGAGGGTCTGCAGAACTCATTAGTTCACAATTGGACTGTTTTCAAACTCTGGAAGATAGCAAACACAGGATGGGGCTTTTTCTTGCCTGAGCTTAAGTCCTGTAGCCGCTGAGCGTTTCTGTGTCACTCACATAATGGTAATTTAGGAAAATGGAAGTGTGCCTGCGGGTCGGGAATAGCTGGTTGGTGTGAAGAGATGAGGGGATTTAGGGAATTTGGGTTTTAAAAGGATTTTGGATCGTGCCACAAACAGGGCTTTGATAGGATTTTATTTGTGTTCTTGGATCTGTGTAACTCATGCAGATTGCAAGGAGACAGAGCTTTGTTCCCTGGCATTTCTGTCAGTATTGTAGCTCATGCTCTAAGCAGGATGGGGAGGGAAATGGTGTAGGATTCGATTACTACTTTGATAGATACATTTTGTTTTTAGAAACACTTCACTTTGCAGGGAGGCTGCTCACCAACCTTACCACGGTTCAACTTGGCCTTAGGGAACCTTTCCTGCTGTCCTTAGCGTGGCGTTTTGGCAGCGTAGCAGTGCGTGGCGCTAATTAAGCCTTCTCCCCGAGAAGTTTGCAGGACGTTGGGTCTGACGTCTCCGTCTCGCTTCGAGCCTCCCTGCCTTCCTCCATGGAGGCTTTTGTTGCAGTGCTCTCCTCCCGCAGTCACTTCTCCAGCAAACGTGCTTTGTTACGGAGGTGGCCTGCCAGGGCACACGGGGATGTTGGGGACGGACCTCGTCATTGGCAGCACGGTCACGGGTAAAACCTCAGCCATCAGGGACAGAGGGAGCCGAGCTGAACGTAGCCATTGTGCTCCGGCTAGCGGTAACCAGGGGGTGCTTCTTAATTAGGAATTAATATTCAAGTGCTGCTGGAAGGAGAGGGGAAAAAAACACATTCCAGTCTCTTCGGGTCGCAAAATGTCAGTCTGATAATGGCACCCACACTTCTGACTTTACTTACTGTCGGGGGAGAAAAAAAACAGGTTTATCTTTGAATGAAAGTAGTTATTTTTGTTTTTCTCCGCCTGTGCTATTGTAATTAATGTTAAGACACTCTCTAAAACAAGGGATTTATTATAATGCAAGGGTGAGGATGGCTTCTATTGACCTTTTCCTCTGCTGGAGTTTCAGTGTTTTAGTATGTGCTGCTTGCACTGGAAAGAATTTATAATCACAGGGCTGTCAAAGACAACCATTGTTCTCCCTGCTCTGAACATGTGGGTCAGCTACAAGTGCTTTCATATCCCCCAGAGCCAGGAGCTGGCAAAGAGTAAAGAGCACAACTGAATTCTTCTGAGGCATCAGGAAAAGCGTTTTGCATATTTTTCATTGCTGATTGCTTCAGAAAGACATCCCTCTTTCATAACAGGAATTTCTCTTCAAGGTAGAGGGAGGCTGGGGCACACTGCTTCATTATTTTGCCGAGCTGAAGCAGCAACAACAAATGCTGTCTGCTGGTGTCCCAGCCAGATACAATAGATAAGCAAGGGGCGGGGGGAATCCTTTGGAAGGCAGCAGACTTAAACCTGATGCAGGCATGATGTTAAAATGCTAGTGCTTTTGTCGGTGCTATGGACTGTGGACGACAAGTCAAGTTTCAGGTTTCTCTCGGTTTTGATCACTTTATTAACTCGGTTGTTGCAACTTTTTCTCAGTTCATCGTGCTAATCTAATAGCATGCCTCGCTCTTGGTCAGCATAAAATGGGGTTTTATTGCAAGCTCGCACTTTCGTTTTGAAGGGGAGAAGGGGCAGAAAGCAAGGAAATCCTTTTTGGGGGGAAAGAGATTTTTAGCACTCTGCAAGATGCTTTGTTACCTGATGTGTAATGAATCTCATTGGTATGTCAGTGGCTTCTTTATGAAGAGCTACCTGCTGTACTCCCATGTAGGAAACAGAGGATATTGAGAGTCCAAAGCGCAGCATTCGTGACAGCGGTTATATAGACTGCTGGGACTCCGAGCGCAGCGATTCCCTCTCCCCACCGCGCCACGGCAGAGATGATTCCTTCGACAGCCTGGACTCCTTTGGCTCCCGCTCGCAGCAGACACCGTCTCCAGATGTAGTGCTCAGAGGAAGCAGTGATGGTAAGTGCTGGTCGCAGGGAGGCATACGCGTTGCTGGAGCAAATGTGCCATTCAGAAGCTGGACACAGCCTTTGAATCACTAATCCAGCGGGAGAGCTGCTCTGTGAATGCTGATTTGTGCTCCCTGAGGTTTAGATGACTTTGCCAACAGCTTACTTGAAGTCTGTCTCAGTTAGGCTAGCGTAGCATTGGAAAATGAGTTACATCATTGCAGTGTAATTTTATTATTGGGATAGTGCTTTTCTGGGTTACGGTGTAAGAGGATGTTGTGCAGACTCATTTTAACTTTTGAACTAGGCTGAAGCAAGAAATAAAAGCGTAGGAACAGGGGAAATATTGAAGTGAACAGAATGCTGCCTAGATAAACCCTAGCCAGATAAATGACATGGAAGTATCTGATACTTGTCAGAATTTTCAGGTCTGATATAAAACATGTCACCAAGTACCATGTTTGTTTTTGTGGTATTTAGGAAATTGGGCAACTGACTAGCTCCCACATTCAGAGCCGTGTCCATCTTTGTACACCTTTGAGTCAGGACACGCAGTTCTTGGCTTACAGAAGGGGATCTGCTTCTCTGCCTTCCTTGTTTTTCTTTCAGAGGCTTTCTGAGGCTTGTAAACACAGCATGTTGCGTGAGGAAGGATTTGCCAAGGGGCAGGTGTAGAGCATGCACTTAAGTTACCTGTCTTGAGCAGGATTCCAGGTCAGAACAAAAGGACGCTTGATTCAGGCTCCGTCCGCTTGGTTGCATGCACGATACACGAATGAGTCAGTTGAACTTCATCATGAAGTTATATTCCACACATGAATCACTTCTCCTTAGTAATGTTATTTATTTAATAAAAAAGGAAGGGCAGAAAGACTTTTTGGTAGGAACCAGATGTTCGTACTGCTTTTGGCAGTGCGAAGGAAACTGGTGCTAATCATAACCGGACGCCTGAGAGATTTCCTGAGGTGATGGGGAACTCCTTAAAACTGGAAAGCTGGCAGGGAGAGCTGGTATCACAGATGAATTGTAAAGGGTAGAGTAGAGTTAACCTCTGCTGTGCTGCTGCCTGGCTGTTTATAGAGTGGCATGTCTTACTGGGACTGATGCTGGTTGACCATCCAGAACCATGTGCTGGGGCTGATTCCTTGGAACAGCCTCATGCCCCCTAAGACACTGAACTGAAGACAGTCTCCATGTTACAAAGCGTTTTTCTGCCTTTTACAATGAGACAAAAGGCAAATAGTCATATCTCACCTGTCCTAATTGAGATGTGTTGCCCTGTCCTGGCTGCTTGAAGAAGTGTCCGAGGTCCCTGCCTGTTTGCTGGGCAGTCACTTACACCAGTCCTGTAGCTGCTTCCCATCAGCTTCTGCTGCATTAGCAGATTTTAGTAAGGTTTTGTGGTTGCTTGTTTGCCACAGCTAAGACATACTATCTTGTCACATTCTTGAGTCCATGACAAGCACAAAATAAGATGCAAGCGTAGAGAGCTTGTTCTTAAAAATTGATTTTTAACCGTATCCAGACTGGGGGTGCACGCAGATGTAGTTTGCACATGTATGACTTGTCTTGCAAATCCTTTCTAATCTGTCCCATTTTCCCTGCTTGCTGCTGCCTTAACTTCACAGCTGACTCCTCCAAGAGTTGCAGCTGAGGTGTAGCTTGGCTCACCTCTTCCCTGCCTGACCTATTTCTGTGGCCCCAAGAGGCTGGTGTTTCACTCAGCTGCATGTACTTGTTGATAGAAATACTATCTATGCAAAGCTGGATGGAGGAAAAGGTTTTGCTTGCTTTGCTTCTCTCTCAGCTCAGATAGGATCTTTAAAAACCCAAGAATATGATATGGAATAAAATTATGATTCCTTGTACTCCTAGACAAAAAATATGGATGGAGGTCATGTAAGTGATCGTAAAGTGATGACAAGTTCAGTTAGAAGCATTAAGTGATACGACCTTCACTAAGCCACCTGCAGTCCATATCTCTGTTCAGGGACTGCTCTGGTGTCCTACCTGGGCCCTGTCACTTGGCACAAAGCAAACAAAAGCAGTGATGGAGCACAACAGTTCATTTAAAGCAGTAGAACTGCAGTCTGACCTGCACAGAGCCACAAATGAACGTATTTGGGAATGCATAAATCCTCTGCTTGGCTGGCAGTTGTGCGTGGTGCCTTTTATGAACTCGTGTAGGCCCCTTGACACACTGTTGTGTACAAGTCTGTAGTATATAACTGCTTGTTAGGGGTTGTGGAAACTGGCTGTTTCTTCTTCTACTTGGAAATGCAGAAGAACAAAATTAATGTTATAAATGTAGAACACAGCTGCATCTTTCATTCAGTGCTCTGGCCTCAAGTGATTCAAGTGATTTTTTTTTTCAAATTTGAGCTGAAAATAATTTTATGAGTAAAATATGAATAATTAAATAAGTTGTTTTTCTTTGAAGTACTCAGCTTGGATGTGCTTGTAGGCACATAAGTAATGAGGGAGAGGAATCTGTTATAGTTCTGCTGCCGCTGTGGTTATCTGCTCCAGCATTTCTGTCTGCTTGTTCAAGACTAGTTTTCATGCAGTACAAAAATAAACACCAGAACAAAGTCAAGAGCAAATAGGATAGCAAATAACATGAAGGGATCTTTTCACTTTCTTTTAAGCTGGCCCTGCTTAGTTTAATGGTATTACAGCTCTTCAAACCTCTGCTGTCCTCAGACACTTGATTTTTTGGTTGCATCTTCACTTTCTGTTGAGCTACAGACTGAGGTTACCAATCACATTGTTAGTTTTCATATGCTCTTTACCAAAATTGTCCAAGCTAAACATTACTGGCAAAAAGTACATTGTGAATTTTGTCTAACTCATTTCCATTATGTCTTGTCTTGTCTTACTGTTCCCTTTCCCTCTTCATCTCTCTCCGTGCAAACATTGAATCATGCAATCTGCTTCAAAAGCTCTTTGCAAAAAAACATTCCTAACATATTTGGACCTCTTTTCCTCCCCCCTACTTTGAATTATACAAAGCTACTTGTGATTTTTTATGACTTCATTGTTTTCAGTTTTTCATGAGGTAGCTCAGCGAATTAGCTAGTAATTTATTAGCAGAGTGAATTAGCAAGAGGACACAACCTGGGTGGCTTCCCCCTCGCCCCAGGGAGGGAGAACAACTATTGCATATGCAAGTGTTGCAAAGAGGCCAACTGCCAGAGAGACAACACTCCAAAGCTGGGAGAAGTTTTGAATGCTGATCGAAGAATTGGTTGAGTATTGCACTCATCAAACCAGGGCCTGTGATGATGAGAGAGAACTATTTATATGGCTTCTTTGTGAATTACTTAAAAAGGCTCATGATGGTGCAGGGAATCCAGTGAATGTCTGTGAAGTGTATTCCCAAATGGCTGTGAGGGCAGTTCCACTGCAAATGCCCTTTCATGTAATTGTCCCACCATTTGGGAGTCTTATTTTCAACTGTATATTCAATCTGGAATAGTCTTTGCTAAGCTTTTGTGAACATGATTTTTAAAGGCGTTGTAAATATCAGGAGGCTTAGTTCATTTGTACAAAACAAAGTGGCTGCTCAGCTCTGTTCATCTCCCATCTTATTCTCTGCAACTTCTTGATTTTCCTCTCTCACTGGGTATCTTTGTCAACAAGTATTCTTCAGTCTTTGCAGCACCGATCTAACCCATAAATGCTGCAGATTGCCCCTTCCCATCTGAGGATGAAGTTTCCTTGTCTGTTTGCACTGAACTGGAGACTAACTGACCAGGCAGCTGGAGAGACTGAAGACAGTCCATCTGAGTCTCACAGTTTATAGCAGCTGATGCTATATAGGAATTTATTTTCTTAGGTTTTGACCAAAGCTGATGCTGTGTGCATTCGAAGTACAGTTAATATGTGTCTCCAGAAACATGCATATTCATGCTGTTCTGATAAAAATGCAGTATGAAGCCCTTTTTTACTGAGCTTGTGATACGGAAGTGTAAGTGTAGGTTCAGGAGTGTGAACCAGGTTGAACATACCCAAGCATACAACTAGGAGTCAGTTAGCCAAATAAGCTTCTCTAGCTGTTCTCTGTGAGTGACAAATCTGGCTTAATCTGACCCCAAGTTTGTCAGAACATCCTGAATCATGAGCTGTGGCTGAAGTTTGTCAGGGATACAAAATAAGGATTGATAGAAAAACTGTTTACTGTCTGTGTAGATACTACAGCTACTACATTGTGTCTGATTTTTAAATATAAATACAGGTAAAAATGAGTTCATTTCTTGATACTCACATTCTATTTTTTTAAATTTTTTTTTTGGTGGCGTCTTCTCTGATTTATAATTTTAAAAAACCTGGATGGAAATGAAAAGAAGGACTTTTTTCTCCTTCCTCACTAGGGAGAGGAAGTGACTCAGAAACTGACCTGCCACACAGAAAGATGCCAGATGTGAAAAAAGATGATATGTTGGCAAGGCGGACCTCACACGGTGAACCTAAATCAGCTGTGCCTTTTAACCAGTACCTCCCGAACAAGAGTAATCAGACTTTCTATGTACCTGCTCCCCTTCGGAAAAAGAAAGCCGAGCGAGAAGAGTATCGGAAGAGCTGGAGCACCGCGACTTCACCGCTAGGAGACAGACCTTTCAGGTAAGACTGGCCTGTCTAACTTCTCCCTTCCTCACTGACCATGCTTTAAACAGCTGATTATTGTTCTTTTCGTGAGATGTATGGAGCGCCTTCTGCTGTAATAACTCTCTTGCTGAAGTGGTACTGGTCAATTGTAGCAATTAGTGAAGATGGTAGAAAAGCAACGAGAAACTCATTGTCTTGATATCATTATTGTTTACCATACAATGCATTGTATTGCTTGTGTTTGACACAATGATGGTTATTATAACCACCATGGTGGATGACTCAACCCAAGGCTGGACAACATTGCTCTGGATGACCTCTCTCAGTTCTCAAGACAATTACTCACCGACAAATGATACTTAAAAGCAACATTTGTTGTATTTAATCAAATAGGTAATGTTTTTTCTGCATTTTAAATTAATTTATATGTATGCTATATATTAGTATGGTTTATATAACTGTGGCTATATGTGTTTCTGGGTGCTGGTTTTGTCAACTGGTATTTCACTTCTGATTTGGCCTCAGAGCAACTTCCATTAAAAAGCATAACTATCTTCCTGCGCCATCCATCAGAATATCCTTTGACATCTTGATATCAACAAAATTTGCTTATAATAAATAAGTATTTATGTATCAGGCACAACATACATTAAACCACCTTGTATAATTCAATAGCAAACCTGAAACCATAGAAGAAGAACAGAATGAAACGTCAGAACTGTGTGAAAAGGAGAAAATGGGCTCCGTGGCTCCTGAGGAAAGCCCTATTAAACATCAAGTAGGTTTCAGTCAAAGAGAAGGAAACTCCATAGAACAGTCTCTTTCATGTAGTGCAAAAGAAACATCAGCACCTGAGGGGGAAGATGCAGAAGAGATCAGAAAGTTACGAAGACTGGAACAAGCTGGCATTAAGGTCATGTCAGCAGCCCAGCGCTATGGCAGGTTAGCCCAAGAGTGTGAGAAATTGTGCACGCTTCATATTTTTAGGATTGGCTGAAGTGTGGCTTCCTCAATCCACTGTGACTTCACTTCTAACAAAAATCCAGCCTGCTAAGCACTCACAATGGCTAGCCTTTTAGTGAAGGTCTTGGTATGAAAAAGCTTGTGAAGTGGCAGTTGTACATTGGAGAGCTGTATGATGCTAACTGCATTTGTGTTGAGCAATTGTATGGTGTTACAGCATACAACAAACTCCAAGGAAACTACTACACAAACTACATGTCACTACATGTCCCACTTAATGCTTTCTTGCATTTTAATAAAAAATACATAGAAATGTGTATTAAAAATGCCTTCTTAAGGTAAAAGTTTCAGATATATACTTGTTGGCGATGGGGTGTTTTAGTTTACTGACTCACAGTTTTTATGTGGTTAATGTTTTTAGCTGTGTTAATAAATGATGCATTTATTTTTAAAGGCAGGAACTATAAAAGTATAAAGTGCTTGTTAACACATGTACCAGTTCAAACGTGGAGGCATAGTTCTGCAATCACCATTTGACTGACTTTGGCATGAAGTATCAGTAGTTTTTCACTTATTACCTGTGTTACTTATTTTTGGATGTGATTCAATTTGGTTATTTCCTGTTCTTTAACTAACAAGCTGACTGATGCGTAGGCTCACTGCCATGCCTTTCCGTGATCAGATACCAAGTCCTCATGAAATATCTCTCTCATGCGGATGGCCCGCAAAGCAGATTTTTAATCACTGTGCCTGCAGACTAGGCTCTTATAGATGATCAAAATGATTTGGCTAAAGGGTAAGTGTCCAAATGTCCTTCCATCTAAAACATTTTCCTTTGGATTATTGAGGAAAATACTCACTGCATTTCTATTCTGACTAAGGCAACTTCTTGAGATGTGAATTTGGTAAATCATGGGGTGAAATCTTGACAGTGGGTAATTTAGCAGATGCGGGTCTATGGACTGGGTTTGGAGGGTGGTAGAAGCTGAAAGTACAGCTCTTATGTTATACAGCTTGCTTACACATAAATTAAGCTGGTCTACAGCCATGTGCACATACATCATGTGCAAATAAAAGTCACACTCTTTACACATCGTATGTCCTTTTCCTAGGTCACTCAGAAGCTGTCAAGAACCAGTGTTTGCATGTGGTTGTGGAGTACTACTTTACAAAGCCCTAATAAAGAAGGACTGTCAGTCAGAAATTAGTCCTTCAGGTTCAGCTTGTGTGCTCATTGATCAGGAATTCATAAACCAGTAGGATATGAGCATAATTGCGTTCTGAGTCCAAGGCTGCTATTCATGGTGATACATAGTAATAGCTTGTGTTTAGCAGTGCAGCAAACAACTGATGGCACTGCCTGCATTTGCATTTGGAAGATACTATCCAAGAGCCCCTTTTCCAAGCCTGTGTTTGACCCACTTACTTGTTCTCCAGGAATGAAGCACATCTGGGCAAGTGTTTGGCTCTTTGGCATGAAATTGGGTCTCCTCTTTCCTTGGACAATCTGTTGTCCTGACAGGGCTGAAGGGGAGAAGGGAGCAGATATAACCAGCCATGGTCCCTCCTTGCTCTCAGCAGACACAACTCCTGGAATGTGGCAGCTGGAGGAAGGAGGAGCTGCTGGTTTTCTGCCCAAGCTGAGGGTCAAAGAACTGAGTTTTGTATCCCAAGCTTCACTGTAGTGTAGTAGCAGCCTGCTCCTGGGAATCATAGGAAGACACAGCAGAAGGTGTATTGGGGACATGGGTCTGTAAGGAAGGTTCTGTGTTTGTGGAAGTGAAAGAATAGCGAGTGAGGAGAAGGGAAGAATTTGGTGTTGATGCTTCAGGATACAGCAGAGCATTTGATCATCTTTCTTAACGTCTTATTCTCATTCCCTGTACTTCGAACCTCTCAATTTTCTCTTTTTTCCTTGAAATCAAATTCAAATTTCTGTGCACTAGTGGCATTGAACAATTCTCAGTCCCACTTGGTTCTGTATTCTGATCTTTTTTTTTTCTTTTTCCTTTTGCCCCTCCTCTTTGAACTTTTTTCTACACTGTCAGCCTCTCTCCTTTCACCTGAGGTTCTCAGTTGTTTTCCACTCGCTCTGAGTTGTTTACAGGCATTTTCCTCTCGACATTTTGACCTCTGGATGACACCCACTGTGACTTTGAGTTCTACAAGGCATCTAATTGTTCCTAAAGCTGAAACTCAGTGGGGACATTTCTGGGTCTGGCACAGGAAGGATTTGAACTTGTATGCAAATGCATTTTTTGTTTGGAATCTAAGTGCTTATCTCCATTGCTGTAGCATGTTCTCGGAAAGGACTCCACTGAACTAGATGCTGTACGACTGCATGCCAAAAAGCATTCACCCTTCCCAAAGGAGTATATTGTCTCTTTATAGCACGGTGTTTTATTTACGTGTGGTCCTTCATGCTTGCTTGTTGTGTGCATCTGTCTCTTATTTACACTATTGTATTTGAGAGATACGCATCAGATTCATAGAGACTCCCTAAAAAGAGGAGAAGAATTATGTCTGTTCTAATAGATGATGCAGAAAGGGAGGGTAAGAGAAATGTGAGCAAACCAAGAATTCTTGGCACGTTCTTTGTGAAAGGGATGTGGACTCTTATCTTGATGGTGCAGAAGCATGCAAAACCCTCTCATTGTTCTGAAACGCAACAGACGGATCCACAAGCCTGTACGAGGCCCTGCTTCATTCAGCACAAACACCCAGGGTCTGATGCTCTGCAAGGCAGCACCTACTGTAGCAGCGTGGATGTGTGTGGTGTTTCTGCAAGGGCTGGGGCTGGGTATGCGGGAGCGATTGGCAAATATGCAGTGCAAGCTTCACATCTACACTCTTGGCTATCTTTGTGGTAAATTGACCTTAAAAGGCACTTCTAAAACTGTCACACAGTGAATTCAGGAGACCCCAAAACATCACAGCTTATCTCTGACTCCAGTAAAAACAGAATGGAAATGAATGGAAAATATTCTTAACCTAGAAACAATTGTGGAAGTCTAGTTACATACTAAAAGCCCTAAGTTCTTCAGTTATTCATCACAGTGACTCATAGTTGTTCTTTTGAATATTTTAAGGCCCTATTTCTTTGTAGCTGAAAACACCCATCTCAGAAATAGTATGTTTGGTGCTCAGTAGCATTGATAGACATGAGACTGGAAAAATCATTAGTTTTTACTGAATAATCACTTGCTTATACATAATTCTTAGAAACTGAAAGTACAAAACAATATCCCCAACCTTACCAGACAAAAAATTACGGATCTTCATTGAAGAAGTAAATATAAACATGATTTAATGGAGTATTACATGATTTTACACGTCCTCTTTATGGCCAGAGTTCTGAAAATTATTTCCAGATTATTAGTTTTCAGAAAAGAGTAATGGTACCTGTAGTAAGGTCTGGTTAAAAATGAATCAAGTTAATCATATTCCCTGGCTTATTTGGTAGAACAGGTCCCAGTGCATGTGACTTCTAGGTACCTGTTCTCTTGTGCCTAAAACTTAAGGAAGAGTTCAGCTGCTTTAGATCAGTATATTTTCTCTAAAGCTTGTTTAGCAATACTTTGGAAGGGCAGCTGAAGCCATGAAAGAAGTGGTGTGTACAAGGAGCATGTAGGACTTTATACTGTTTAGAAACACAGTTAATTATAACTGTACTGTTTTCTAAAATAGAGGAGAGACTTGACAACAACCTGTAAGCTGTTTAGATTTACTTTCTTCATGTCAGTTTGTTTAATCTGATGTGATACCTTTTTATTCCTTTGTATAGCGCGGTGTGCTGTAAGAAAGAGGAAAAGTGAGATATTTGCAGCCTACAAAAGTGCTACACGGAACATTCTAATATTCAATATCCAACTTCCAAAATATCATTGAATACAATTTGGTTTTCAAACATGAGATTGGCCTAACTCTCGCCATCTGTCTCTTCAGTTTACTTAAGAATATTGACTGTTGCAAGTTAAATAAGCTTAGTCTTTCTTGGCACCAGCTGTCAAGGGTCTTTATCATTGTAATCTTCAGGGGCACCAAGGTTGTGTTGGTGTTGCTGTTGTTTGTGACCAAGGCAGATCGCACTGTGTGCCAGCACGCTACTATCTCTAGCAGACTCAACACCCTATTGTATATCAGCATCAGCACAGAGGGCTTATTCTGGGGGAAAGAATCGAGCACAAATGTGCATGAAAAAAACAACAACAACAACAACAACAAAAAACAGTTAAGAATATTAGGGCATGCAGCCTCAGTGATTACTCAGGTTTCTCTCTCTCTCTCAAAAAAAAAAAAAAAAAAGCAAAAAAAAAGCAGAGCCATTAAGATGAACATGTACCAGATATTATCTGGTATTTCAGGATTCAGCATTGGCCAGGGATCAGGTATTTGCATCAAATCTTTCTTTCTTTGAAGTGTTGAAGAAGTTTCACACTGCCACGTACAGTACTACATTCACATAGTATGGTAAACAAATTCTTCCTTTTTCTTCTAGCTGTTACTAAAATAAGTAAAGATCCAACATTATTGATTTCCATGTGAAGTCCTTGCAGATCTGTTCCTTGTATGATTCTTTTTTTTTTTTTTTTTAACAAGTCATTGCCAAATCTAACAGTAGCCTGGAACGTATTCGATTAACTCCGCTTGGTTTATGACCTGAAGGTGTATGTTGCTGCTCCACTCTCCCTCCCCTCATGCATCAAGAGCTCTCTTTACTTTTGCTCTGTATCAGTAAAATGCAAGCATATGAAGACAATGGAAGCACCCCAGACATCATCCTTCGCAAGGAGAACCCCTTCATGACACGTTACCAAAGGAAGGATTCTGGTTCGGAAGATGAAACAGCAAATAGAGTGCCTGATTTAGAGAAGGATGACTTTGCTACCCGGAGAGCCAGAATGAATCAGCCCAAACACATAGTTCCGTTTAACTCCTTTATAATTGGACCCTACACAAATAAAGATAAAGGTAAACTGGAAGACAGTAAAAAGCCATTGCAGGTGGAAAAGCAGGAACATGCAAGGTGTGCATTCATGGTCTTTCTTTTTCTATTACAATGCTTAATTTCATATTGCTTTGTAGGGCTAAAGTTGTCTGGAGTACAAAAAAATTTCAGGGTAAAGTAATGCAAATGTTTTATCATAAAGTGAACAAAAAAAAATCTAGATTAATTACTGGAAGTTTTTGTTAGAGTATCAGGACCATAAGCTTAAATTGACAGTGTAAAATAACAACCAGACAATTTCTTTGTCCAAGTAGAGGCAGCTCATGAGTGTGAGTAACGGAAAATAAACTTTGAAGATATGTTTGCACATCAGTTCCCTCTTTTGCTGGATGTTTTAGAAGCATGTGTTTGGATAAATTTTTTTCATCTAATACCCTTTTAATACCCTGCATAAATCATGGACTCAGATCTAAGTCATTGGTTAACGCTCTGAATACCTGTGCTTGCTATATTGCACTGAATTGTTGCACATAAAGCTAATGTTTCTTACGTAGTATTGTTTTTAGAAATGGAGTATGGCTTACAACATTTTGGCCTAAAAAATCTTTCTTCAACTCAGTGATACAGACCTTTAGGAAACTGCTGAATATAGGTATCTGCTAGGAATGCACCATTTTCAGGAAACAACTTTTTTTTAATTTATTTGTGCAAAGAGAAGTGATCCTAGATAAAACCACTATATACACGTTACATGGGATCTTGAATGTAATTACTGATACATTGAGAAATTTTCTTTGAATATCTAGTAGCTCTTTTCAGTAATGCATAACTTGCCTTTTGGTTGCTGGTAATTTGATTACATTAACATTTTGTAATGAGAAGTCTGGCACAGCATCTGAAGAACACATAACCAAATTTTAATATTCTAATGCTATTGACATGACTCTAAGATCAAAGAAACTCTGTAGTGTGTTTGTGAGCAAAACTTGAATTCACTTCACTAATATTATGGAAATGAGATATTTGTAACTATTTAAGGGAAGGCTTATTGCAAAAATGCTTGATACAGGAATAACTCCAAGGCTTTTGTTGCTCATGGTAGGAACAGAAGTCATACAATGAAGTGGTCTCAATACTGCATGAGCGGGATAGTGTAGGTGGAATCACTTTATGTCAGAACTTCTCATGTTTACTTCCTAAAATAAATGTAAAATAATCTGCTTATAAATTCAGTTTTATCTTCTTGTGCTCTGAACCTCTTCTAATGACACTGATTTATCATTGCTCCCTCAAAATATCTTCTCTTGCTGAAACGGAATGTGTGTTCAATTAGAGGAAGCCAGGTGCACGTGGCAGCAGCAAGGCAACTAGTGACACACAAGGAGAACACACTTCTGAAAACTGAGAAGAGTAAGTCAGAGGAGGAGGAAGAAGTGAAAGTACCTGATACTGAGCGAGACGATTTGGCTAAACGGAAATCTCAGAATGTCCTTCCTCAGCCTCAAGAAGATACAGTTTTTGTGAATGCATCTATAACAAAAGCGGATTTGGAGACCTGGAAAAGATTGAAACTGTCAGGGGAGCCCAGGTATAGTGTCATCCTGTGCGTCCTGTGGACAGGATGGGCACCCTAAGAAGCATGTTTATTTTGTCACAATCCATTTGTGTCTGCTTGTGTTTTTAACCTTGCAGAATGCCTTGATGACAGCAAGTCTTTACCTACTTAGATTTTCAGGAGGAGTCCAAAAATCTATGTAGGGATGCTGTCTATCGTGAAATGGAAGTGTGTCCATTATGAAGAAAAATGCAGTTTCGTAGTAGCTCTGCCTTTGGATGCTTTTGCTGTCATCCCAGGAAGGTTCCTTTTGTCTTGTGGATCGATCTGCTGTGAAGCTGCTGGAGGCTGACCAGCAGAAAGGTCCATGTAGTGCTGCTAACCGAGCTATCTGCAGGACTTGGGGCATTATATTCTGGGGGCTTTATGAGGATCAGCATCTCCTTGCATTAATGTGCCTCTACTGCTTTTGAGACCTGAGCTAATACATCTGCATGGTATTTTACTGTGCCGAGTAAATATACCAGCGCTATCTGTCACTAAAGCAGAAGTTGCAGGAGCCTCGTTGTATGGTGTAGAGATGCTTGTGTTGTAAACTAACCCTCCACAAAGGGAGCTGGTATAAAGCCGTTATTCTAGGCTATTTCCCTGTGGAGATGGACTCTAATGAAGGCAGGTGATTTGTGACTCCAATAGGAAAGGGTAACAACTCCTGGCTTTCCTGTTTAGGCGCATGCCATTTTCCAATTAGAGGTCGCCATCTGTTCAGGCGCTCTCCTAACAATGTGGTTACTGTGTGGAATTTCAGCTCTAATACAAACCACCGAGAATCAATCACTCTCTCGTCTCAGAAATATTATAGTTTCCCCGTTACTTTGGAGGTGAATTATTAAAGGCAACCTTCAAATCAAGATTCAGTGCCCCCTTTGCAGGGTAAGTGAGTTGCCCTTCCTGGTGCTTTTGTGCCACCGGCACCCCCACACGACAAGTGGGGTGTACTGGTGCTGCATGGTCCCATGTAGCACATAGCCTGGGTCTGCATCAGGGAACCATGGCTTTTTTTAAGGGTAAAGTATTAATTCTGCAACTATTTTTATGCTATGGTCCTTCCTCTAAGGAAGAACTTTCATAGATGTTTTCCCAGCAGGCAAACAGTATCTTTGGTCCTTGGTATCTTTGGATTTTATTTGTCAGGCCACAGTGTGCCCCACCTCTCTGTACCTGTGTCCTTGAATTTTAAAATAAAGCCCCTTTTTAAACTTAGGAGCATTTAATTTGCTTTATTCTGGGGTCTCATCTGGGGGGGGACTCTTTTATTCCTCATTCTGACTAGTGAAGAAGATCTCAAATGTCCCAGTGACACTCTTCTGCCAGCTGAAGTCACAGTGAAAGCAGCAGCCCGTGACGATTTTGCTGTCCGCAAAGCCAGAGCAAACAAAAAGGCTGGTGGCCCCAAGCAGAAATTCGTGCATTTTGGGCCAGTAACTGAGATCGATCAGCAGAAATGGGACAGGCTCAGCATTGGCAGAGCTTCCCGCAGGGGTGAAGCAGAAGAGGCAAGCAGCAAAGACAGCGTGGAGATCCCCTCCGGTGTTGAAAGCTCTCCTTCAGCCGCTGGCAGGCTCCGTTCCGATGCAGCATCCAAGCCACAGAACGAGCCCAGGTACTGGTGTGGTGTAGGAAGCACCGCTGAGCTGGAAGCGAGCCCTGGTCTCACAAGAGGCCGCTCTGCATGGGGGTGGACTGTGGCACACACCTCAGAGCTGTTGACACGCACGGCCTTGCTCAGAAGTCATCTGACGCTTCCACAGTCCCTTAATGTGTTTAGGCTTGTGCAAAACAACGCTGTGCGTATGCTTTCTGACAGCTTACCTCAACGTTTCTGGCTATCAGTGAAACCACTGGTATCTCAGAACCTGAGCTATCTTTAAAGCCCTCTGCTTCTTGAACTCCCGCAGCTTTTCTCCGCCTGCTTTCAATACATGAGGGATTTGGCGTTCAGCTTTCTGGCCTTAGTGGTGTTCAAAACATGCTTTCTTCAGTCCTAATGGATTTAGTTGCTTTTTGAAGATGCACTGCTGAAACCAAGGCGCTCTGTGTTTCTGGTGTTCATCTGGAAGAGAATTGCAGCTCTGGGAAGTTAACATATTAATAGAGCTTACGTTTATTTGGCTTTTCTTTAATTGCTTAGTCTGTGGCTGTAGCAAGAGTTTTTAATGAGTGCATTTAGCAAGCAATTCATTCAGTTAAGTTTGTGTGTTTATCAAACGTCTGCAAACTGAGCTGAAGGGCTTCTCTTATGCCTCATTTGACCTGGGAACGTTTTGTTTGTCTCACCCCTCCTCACCTCTTTGCCAGTGAGGCAGCGCAGTCAGGTACAGATGAATGTCACAGGAGAACGCTGTCACCCGCCCCTGCCACTTCCATCGGCTCTGAGAAGCAAGCCCTGGGCGGTTCAAACAAACAGCAAGAAAGCGCCGAGGAAGAATGCGATGAGCATTTGCCAGACATTGAGAGAGATGATATGTTGGTTAGGAGGTTGGGGACCTTTCAGAGGCGTACCACGAGCCCCATTCATATGTATTGTCCTCCCCTGCCAGTAACTCCTCACCTGCTGCAGCAGCGGCCAGGGGAGGCAGTAGCTCGTGAGAAGGATTTGAAGACTCCACGGGAAGCAGAAAGGTCAGAGAACAGAAGCAGATCCCTCTGAGCTTCATGCCTGGTTTGTGTGTGGTGTGAGCTGAGATCAGTCAGCAATGTTATTCCATTCTTCGCGCAGCCTTTAAAGATGTGTTTTACTCATTCATCATGGCATGTGCTCTGTTTTATGAAATTACTTACAAGAATGTATCCTATGAACATAAAACAGTCTGTTTTCTTTCATAATATTTAAGTACTTCAATTGTTAATTGCCGTCCAGCATGAAAACAGTCTTTCATCTTTTGGGGGGATTTCTTTTGCAATCTCCAGACTTTAATGCCAGCTTCTAAGCAAACAATTCCTTGCATATATTTTTAATCAATCCCCACCTTCTAACATATCTCCTACATAAGTGTGGCACTTGGTTTAGTTTCCTCGTGCTCTCATTCCCTGTGCTGTAGCTAAAGATGCCTACTTGTCCATCACGCTGCAGCTGTGTTTTCAGTACCAGTACCCCAGGTTGCCTCAGCAGCTGCTGGCCTGGGGGCTGTACCAGTGAGCATTATCACGGAACAGTGTCACTTGTCTCTCTGAGCAGCACTGTAACACAAGAAGAGAGCCAAGAACAGCTTGAAATCCCTCATCAGCAGAGTGGTGGAACAGAAAACAAAGTGAAATTTCCAGACCCGCAAAGAGATGACATGTTGGCCAGAAGAACTGGAGCTTTTCTCAAACAGCCGGGGCCAAGTGTTAAACAGTTCCTTCCCATGCCATTTTCAAAGCAGCAGACTAAGCAGGGCACAGCTAGAGAACCTGAAAAGAAAACTGTGAGGTAAGAAAGTTGCTTCTCTCTTTCCCTTTAGTGAGTCCTGTGGACTGTTTGTCTGGATCTCTTGATCTGGAAGAGTTGCTGTTGGCCCAGCAGAGGTTTATTCCATACGGGTCCTTAAATCTGTGCTGACTCTTCCTGCTCAAACAGCTCTGATAGGCAGCACGGGTTTTCTGGCCCTTTTGGTAGAGCTGTCTAAAGCAAAGATCTAGCAGTTGCAAAGCTCTAATAGCGTGTGGCAATAGATAGACATAGCAAGATTGTGTTATATTTGAAGAGTTTCCTGATTAAATATGAGTTAATCATTAAAAATATTTCCAGCACAAAAGTGGTGCTGGATATGGTAGATTAGATGCTTGTCTAGAGCTTAGCCAGTGCCAGTGACCCCCAGACAGGAAAAGAAGACTCTGAAACCAGCTCCCCCCCATAAGGTTTGGTGTCTTTGCTCAGATGAGCAGGGCTACATGGGTTTGGAGGTGTAAGCCTCAGAACAGAGTTGTGCATTGGCTGGTTGAGCCACATGCAAGCGAGACTGGAAAGTTCTCACTCCTCAGCCTTTTCAAAGTACATGAGGAGCATGTACATGTGCACCTGTGCATATGCAGATGAAAAATTGATGTGCAGCTCAGCCAGGAGAAGAAAAACACTGTCACCTACTGTAGAATTGAACAGTGGTTTGATGTTGAAGTGACCTTAGATTGAATATGTACGTAAAGCTTTAATATTTTGGGGTGTCCAGGGAAATCTATGTTACTGGCATGGAAGAATGGAAGTACAAGCATTTGACTCTGTTATAATTAAGTTTTATACACCTATCTAATTTAGCTTGTCAGCTATTAGCTGTTTCGGTTTGTGAGTTTTTTGTTAAATTACAGTTATTCTTTTCATTATGTATATGTGATTTTTCAAATGTTGCTTAATACATTTCTTTGCACTGCTGCCTTTGGCTCACTCAGGCCTGAAAAATGTGCGCAAGTCTGCAGTACTAGCTCTGGAAAACCTGTAATGCTACCTCAACAAGAGCAGCAAGGGCAGGAAAGATGCGATCTCCCTCCTGCTGGACAAGACGATACTATTTGTACTGCCCAAGTGGGTGAACATAGCCTTAATGAAGTCCACCCTGATCAAACGTCTAAGCTTCAGGATGTTCCTGAGGAAAACAAAAATGAAACATTGTCAGCCAAGGATGAGCATCTGCAAACGTGAGCTCTGTATGGTGTGAACCACGCAGCTTGTACACCCCTTGCTCTCCTACTGTGTGCACACTTCAGAATTCAGATTTTGCTTTGCTTGGTGTGTTTTCAGTCCAAACTGAAATATTGTATGCCAGTACACACTCTTGAGAAACAAAAAGAATATCTGTATAATGTATTGTTTTCTTTTCTACAGCTAATGAAAGCAAATATTTGATTGCATTGTTTATGTGAATAAAAAAAAATTGCTTATGAGTAGCAGAGGTTCAACTGGACTCTGCTGGACATCTTTAGACATGTGTGTCTTGCTTCTCCATGATTAGAAAATGCTGCAGTGTCAACTTTTGTATTTTATTTTCTTTTATGATAAATCCCAGATACAAACATGTCATTTGCATGACTCTAAACAGGACAGGTACTTCGGTGAATGACGCACTGACATATGTATTACCAGTACCTTTTTTTCAGCTTCACAGAAAACAAACAAACAAACAAAAAAATTACCCTACTATAATGATGACTTGAGCACCACTGTGGAATGTAACTGTTAAGTTTTGTCTCCATTTATTGCATGTGAGCCACTTAATGTAAATGTCAATATATTGTCTATTTTCATTAACTCATTTCTAAACCCAGTTTAGGTATACCATAGCACATTTTTACAACTGGGGCATTAGTCAGGGAGGGATGGGCAGTTTTCTTGGGCAGTTTGACCATCAGATGATTAGGTAAGTTTTGTGTATTGAGTACATTACCTCTGAACAGCATGGTTGGTTCTCTTTTGGTATGCTTTAGTGGTAGAGGTTGGATGTTCAACGAAACATTACCCAAATCAGATGGGTCCAGTTGCAATTACTATTTACTGTATTTACCAACACTCTAATTTTGTATTTGGTCTTGTAGATTCGGCCCCAGAACTGCTGTGTCTGATGACGCAGAGTAAGTTGTCTTGTGTTCACAAGATTCTGTTTTAAACAACTTACACTGCATGCTTTCCAGTCTTTCTACTAATTTAAAATGCAGTTGATGCCTCATTATTATTTTGCAGTGTTCCAGCAAATAAATTTTTCAGAAAAGCACTGAAAAATTGAATGCAATATGGCTTACATTGCAGCTAAAAATAATTTATATATAAAAGCCCATAAAAACTGAGCATAACACTAATATGCAGCTGTTGCTTAAAGCCTTATTCTTTTTTTTCTTATTTTCCTTCCTTTTTTTTTTCTTTTCTTTTGTTTTTCTTCTGAATTTCCATTGCCTCTAATCAGTTATGGGTAAGGACAACTGGGTTGAATCTGGGCTGGGTGCTGGGAAAAAAAACACAAAGTATGACCTGTACAACTCAACCAGGAAGAAAAAGGAAAATGCAAAGTACAATAAAATTCATTGTGATCTTCAGAATAATTATCAGGAAAATATATCTTTAGCTGTTCCTTTATTGTCTTTTTAAATCTTTCTCTTGAATCCCTTCTAGGTTGGGAGTAATTTAATAATATACTAAACTTAATTTTTAAGCACTTCACCTCAATGTTTTACATTTTGCAAAAGTAGTAGGACTGGGACATTTATTGCATTTAAACATTTTTATTGTGTGTGGATGCATGTGAACTATAGTTCAGAATAATATGCAATGTCATTTAAACAGCTCAGTGAATGTATTAGCTATCTCACTTACAAAGCGCAGTCATTTAGAAGCAAAGAAATAGTTGGGGACTACCCACATAATAGTGTCTTTAATATCCTTCTGTTCACAGAAATGCATATGACCTTCTCTGTCTCCTGGATTAAATCACAAAGTAGAAATGGCGGAGAGGGTTTTCTTATTTCATTTTAATGACAAGTGTATGCAGAGACTCATACATATTTTTCAACCTTTCCTCTAATGATAAAGGCTAGAATCATGGACTGAATATTCTTTACAAGACCTGTACTATGCAGATGTATTTTCTTTATGCTGTGCACTGCCTGTGTCCTCTGCCCATAGAGTAAATGTGATCATTTTCAAGTAGAAATCTTTTCAATGAAACCAAGAGATGAGGTATAACTAGCATAGCAACACAGCAATATTATACTTCACAGCAGAGTCTTTCCTGCCATTTCATAAAGCATTACCTGTATGATTGATCTGTTCACATTTCCCCACAGTTTTGCACGTCTGTATCAAATGCAAACATTTTAGAAAGTACATGGAGATGCCTTCAAAGAGGCATGACAATGTGTTTGGCTGTATAATGTGAGAGTAGCAAGGATGTGAACAAATCGCATTGTTTACTGCACATCAATTCCAATTTTGTTTTAAAAGGCAAAATAATAAATGTTCAAGCCTTATTATCATCCTTGCCAGATGTGCTATAGAACAATTACTTCCTAAATTGTCTTTAAATTTCTTATAAATGTAAGATCGTGTTTTTCCTCTTGAAGATGAAGTACTTAGGAAGAATCTAATAAAATGTGGCTCACGAGTAGGAAAAATAAATTGAACTGACATTTAAAATGCTTCGAAAATGTTTGTCAAGTCTCCTTTGAAAACCATGCCTTGAACTGAGCCCTAGACTCGGTGCTATTTATTCCAGCAGCAGAACCTAGAAACCCCCTTGTTAGGCTGACAGCATTGCCCTTGCTGGTTAGTGACCATCAGATCGTGTCAGCAGCCCAGGGCTGTCTCCAGCTCCTGTAAAAGCAATATTCAGTGTAATTTGGAAGAAAGGAGACAACCCTGGCTAGGCACTGTGATTGCTTGGAGACACCCCAGACATAATTAAAGGCTTAGTACAACAACGTGAGCACTGCATAAGATAATAGTTCTCTGCTGGGGGGCAGCAAGAGGTTGCTCATGGTTCCCTCTTCCCTTTCTCCACTCCCCAGGCTTTCCTGTGGCCCTCTGTCAGGTTTCCAGTTCCTGTCACTTTCCAATTCCTGTTACGTTCTGCCCAGTATAGACGTGGGAGCCAGTTTAGACCTGGCAGGGACTGCGCTGATATCCTGGGGCATCTTCATTTCTCTCCAGATCAGATTTCGAAAAATGCAGAGCAAAAAATACAGAGTGGTGTAGCTGGGCATGCTGTTATGTGGTAAAGTGTTGGCAATATGGTCTCTTCTGAAGCGGGAGAGGCACAAGAAGGTTAACTCGATGTGGTTGAAATGCTCTCTCTTCCCCTTGCAGTTGCCTCCCCTACAGCTAACGTGTTGCTGCTGACCAGTCCCTCACCTCCCTAGGAGATGGGATGAATTCTGGTGGCAGTGTGACAACCCAGTGTTCATTTAGGCTTATGCTTTATACTTTAAGCCCAACAATTGAATTATAGTGGTCTGAGAAATTTGAGTATTTGTTTACTAGAGTCTGATCCTTTAGCCAGCCTGTCTCTTTTTTATGTTTTGTTGGGGTTTCTTAAGTCTTAGTATGTTTATGAATGGTAATGCAGCCACATAATTAATGCTTTGCATAAGGATTTTAACATATTCTCATAAAAGAGATTTTTTACCATAGATCAGACTCTTAAATTAAATGGTCTGAACACTCAAGCCTATGAAGACGGTTTTATCTCATACTTCAGATTTTTTTAAAAGTATTACTGTATTATAACTCTAACAAAAACAACTATAATTTGCAAGAATATAGTAGTGTAACTTAAAAAATCACATTGTCCCAAAGACCCAGCCCTACAAAATAGGCTGGTCTGCACAGTTTTTTCCCAGACCTTTGTTAAAGCAGCAGATGTGGTACGCTGGTCAGCAGAAGGGCCTGTCGCTTCCAAAATTTGGATGCAGTCCTCTGAGCCTTGCTCATGGCAGAAAATTCATGGTCAGGAATTCTGTACTGTTACATCTCCCCCACCTGTGTGCCTGTGACCCAGCAGTTTAAGGAAGATGTAAATCTAGCTCTGTTCATGCAGGTGATGGTTGCAGACTGGAGTCATCTGTAGCTTATGGAAGAAAGAAATTGGAAGAAATGATGTCAGACTCATAGTGAAAGTGTCTTCTGACAGAAGCCCAGAGAGTTCTGGCCTCAATTTTCTTCTAAGGATGAATGTGTCAGGCAGAGAAACCAACATAGGCCTTTCAGGTGGCCTTTTCCATGTCCTGAGGAAATGAGGTGGCTCTCGATAATGCCTGTTATATGCTGCTCAGAGCAGAGAACAGTGCTTTGAGTTGACTCCTTCAGATTGCTCTCTTGCCAGATGTACACAATAAACCTGTTACTGCAGAGCTGACGTTAGGCTGGTGGCAGGTTGAACCCATCTGGTAGCTTATCCATGGCAGTGAAGGGTGAGCAGTGTGAGGTGACAACTAGAATAGAAGGTTCATGTGGGCTTGTAGTGCATGGTTTCAGTCTTGTTATAGGTTGAAGCCTTTTCCAGAGTGCCTTTTTTGTTGCATTAATAGCCATAAAACCTTTGTTTTGCCATTTTTGTGTACCCTGAGTGAATGCAGGGAAAACATACTAGCCTTTCATTAGGAGGTCAGGATTCCTACTTGAAAGTATCTTTATTCTCCCACCCCAAATGACCAAGGACTACTCCTCATGCACTAGAACCAGTTATCAGCATTTTGGGTCTTCTGTTTTCTTCTACTTTAAGTGAAAGAAATACTCTTTGACATGAGGGAAAGGTACAAGAAGGGAGCTACACAACCAGATAGACCCAGTAAGCAAATATCTAACACTAAAAGCTTTTCTTACTCTAAGTTTCAAAAGCACTTAAACTGGAAAAAAAAACAGCAACAGTGGCTTTTTTATGCTATTTGTCTCCCAACCTACCTCAGCAGTCTGCAAAATATGGCTGGTATGGAAATGTTCATTAGTAGGCTTTTAGTTTTAAAAACAACAGCAAAACTTGCTCTCTCTTCTGTTATTTGAGAGTGCTCCAATCCAATCCTGAGCAATGCAACCCTTAACTTACCCACAGAGAATCCCAAAGTACCCCTCCTCAGCACTCTGTGTAAGGGATGAAGCGTGGTAATATGCTCGCTGTTCATGCTTAAAGGCAGTAGGGTGTGTGTTCTGTCACTTATTTCTGCATAAACGCCTACTAACGGGATGGGAACTGTGCATGTCCTTTTCCATCCACTGTCCAGGCCTTTCAGTTTTTCCTATAGAGTGGGTTGCTCACCTGCTTGCCTGAATAAGATGACAGCTAAATATGTATATGCACAGCTTTCCACGTGTATTCACTTTGATTACTGCGTACACAGTTGCCTACAAATTTGTCTTCATTTGGTGCTTCTCCTGCTAGTCAGCTCACCTAAAGCTATGGATGACCATTTGAAGACTGCAGTGAAATTACCTCATGTGGAGCTGCATGGCTTTTTTCTTTTTGCTTTTTCGCTTTTAATGGCACAACTGAGGTCATGTCTTACTAATAATAGGTAGTACGGGGGAGTAGTAAGTCCATTATCTACATGTGGAGATCTTTAAATAATGTGAATGGCTGTATAATCTCAAACCATGACCTTTTTTTCCTTTAGCTTTCCAAAGGTCAGGGACAGAAATAGCATGTGTATGAAGAAACTGTTCTGTCCTGATTACGGTTGTTTGTTGTACAGTCGGCTTTGCCTTTGTTAGGTTGGCTAGATTAATAAATTGGTGCTGATAGCATTGAGTTCCTTCAAGGCAGGGAAGGGAGAGGAGGAAGCAACATGCTGTTTGTGTTGCATGGACTTCTCTGGGCAGGCTTTCCAGGTTTCTGTAGCATTTAGCCAGCCATGCTACCTGCAGTGTACTTCTCAAGCCTCTCTTGTTTTACAGTAAAATGGAAGCTGCTGTCTGCAGTATAATTGGAGGGGTCAGTGAAAGCTCAGTGGGAAACATCTTCAAAAAGTTAAATACTCTGAACTCAGCTCTGAATACAGTGATCTTAACAGCTACTGATGGAGTGTTGGTGGTAACGCTTCGCTTCGTAGTGAGAAATAAAGGTGCTGCTGGCTAATGAAAACAAGAGAGAATTGAGGAGTATAGTGCCTGAAGTGCTGTGTGGAAGTCATATGGCTGCTGACTGGGCCTTTTAGGGGACTGCTGCTTTTGGGAGCTTCGTAACGGTGCAGGTGTCTGATTCTGCTGTAGCACCCTCATGTGGCTTTAGCTCTAAGAAAGTTGAGGGAACATAAGCTTGCAAATAACACTGCCCTTCTTGTTATTCCCTCATCGTTTAGGAGCGTGAGCATGTTCGACATGAGATGTGAAGAAGAAGCTGTGTCTCAGCCTCACAGCAAAGCTCGCCATGAAAAACTGCAGAACATACACAACCAGCTGAAAGAGGACGAGACCAGATGGCAAGATGTGAGTGTACAACATTGTCTGCAATGCTGGCACTGAAGCCTGCTAGCTGGGCAAAAAAGTAAACAAGTAAACCTGCTAAACCTATAGTTGCCCTGTACTAAAAACAAGAGCTTTTTTTTTCTTTTTTTTTTTTTTTTTTTTTTTTTTTTTTTTTTTTTTTCCAATAGGTTGTTGCTAAAAGCATAGAAGGTCATAATTGGGTGTACTTTATACAACACGCAGGTGCACTCAGTATTTTTCTTTTTAATAAAATGTAATTAAACTGTAGGTAAAAATGGAAGCAGAACAGTTTCTATTCACTGATTTCTCCAAGTTTCTAATTAGTAATTGCCCGAAGTGACAAAATATAGGAGTAAGTAGGGTGATAAATGTATAGGTTGGACTTGACTTTAATAAATTGAATAGATACAGAAAATGCTAATATTTTCCATCTTATCCAAGCAAACAAATTACCCTTCAAGTTAGGTACACCCTGCTTGCATTACAAACCGTTCCCAAACCCTCCTTTTTATTTTTGCATTATCTTCAGCAAATCAACAGGGACACAAAAACATTGTTCATGATTTGCAGGTAGGTTAGTACCAGGAGTTTCAGTATCAGACTTGTTCATTCCTAAAGACTGATTTTCAATGAGGACTGTCTGAGTTGTGTTATTTTTAAATCTCTTCAAGCAGCTAGTACAGTGATTTCCAATTATAAGGACAGCTGCTACAAAACATCCTAGAGACATTTTTATAGAAAATTCAGAAAAAGCCCCAAAAAGAACAGTATACACAACTAATAAATAACTTTTTGTAGAACAATGAGGGATTTCAACTGAGTGGTCTGTATGTGTGGGAAGCCTTAATTTCCCAGCAGAGATAAGAATGAGTCCAAAGGAATTCAAGAGGTTTGAGGACTCTTCACTGCTGAATGGAAAATCCTCTGAGCTAAAGTGTGCAAGTTTTCCAGGCCCTCAGCACCTTACACGCCAAACTAAAAGTTCTGAAGAGCTACTAAAAATTCCTGTACTGGAATGTCCTTGGCATTCAGAGGGCTTTGTAGAGACGACACCACATTCATGGTCTCATATTTGTTATATGCCCATGCTGTAAATTTGCCAACAATTAACAGTTTCATAGCTTGTTTTATTATTATTGTTTTTCTAAAGCAGCAGAGCTGGAAAAGATAAACGTCTGGTTTTTAATTGCAAAAATAGGAGGAGGGCTTATGTTATGAAATTTGCTAATGAAAAACTAATTTCCAAACAATAGGCAATAGTGGGAGTAGCTGAATAAAGAAATGCTTTTGTACTTCAATGAGAATAATTAGTAACTGAAGAAAATGAAAGGCCATGTTTCAAGAAGGGGATTATGGACTGATATATGTAGGTCATGAGAAGAAATACTTTAATGAGCATTCCCTTGAGTGTAACGTCAATAATTTGTGGTTTTAAGCTAAATTAAAAGTGACAAGGTTTGTTCCTGGTTTTAATAAAATAAGTTATGCTTGCAGTACCTTCTGCTGTTTACCAATAAAAATGCAATTAAAATATTTGGAAAACCATGTAATTAATGAAATAGCCTTTGAATTAAGTATGTGTACAGAATCTCTGGTTTTTATTAAAACCAGAATTTGTTACAGTGCGTGAAATACTGTCTGTATCCCAATCTCCTAATGTTGTAAAGTTAATGACAAACATGCCCCTACGGTTTCCTATGAAGTTATTTTTATTGCAGAAGTTCTGCAGAGGGTATTTTTTACATGTAAAATTTTGTTCCTTTCCTGGTTGGTTGCAGAGAAATTTTACAGCTTAGAAACACTTGTTTGCTGCAGTATTTTACTGTGAAACAAATTTTGTCTTTCTACCCTCTGATATTTGTGAATTCATAACACAAGCAGGATGCAGGATGTAGGTGCCCATAGCAGGTATCCCCCATGGCTTTCTGTGTCTTAGTATCAAATTCGTTTCACATAAGAAGTGAAGAACCAGAATCACTGGGTCCTCTGGATAATTGTGGACAAGCAGCTTCCAAACAGAATAAGATTATTACTTCAACAAGAATGCATCTACATAGCTGGATACAAACCACAGTCTTATTTCTCTCTCATATCTCAAGCCAACCAAGCGCGTTGCAGAGCTTTGCTGACTGGGTTCATTGATTTCTGATGGCCAGTTTTTAGTTGTTTGCAACTCTACATTCAGCTGCCTTCCTTCTCCCGCAGGACCTGGCTCGGTGGAAGAGTCGTCGAAGGAGTGCTTCCCAGGATTTAATAAAAAAAGAAGCTGAGAGAAAGAAAATGGAAAGGTTATTGTCTGGAGATGGATCAAATGAGCGCAGAAAAAGCATCAAAACCTACCGAGAAATTGTGGAAGAGAAGTACGTATTTTACTGAAGTGCAGTGGTATGTCTGAAATTGTGGTGTGCTTCTTCAGTGATAGGTAGCTGTGCGCAGCCAGGCCTGCAGGACTAGAGTGGGGGAGAGGGAAGGATATCGATGGAGCAGAGGAAGCAGGACTGATTTGCAGTGTTAATTTTAATGTGATGGTCTTTCTTGTATTCTCCCATGCAGAGAGAGAAGAGAGCGGGAGCTTCATGAGGCGTACAAGAACGCAAAGTCCCAGGAGGAGGCTGAGAGCATCCTCCAGCAGTACATCGAAAGGTTCACCATTAGCGAAGCTGTCCTCGAGCGTCTGCAGATGCCAAAAATCCTGGAAAGAAGTCATTCAGTGGAGCCAGATTCCCCACTGAAAGACCCGAATCCTCTGAGATACTTAAGGCAACAGTCGCTGCCTGCTCCAAAATTCACTGCCACCATTGAAGCAACCATTGTGCCCACCGCTGAGTTAGAGCCCAGCGGTTCGACGGGCCGCACATCTCCCAGCAAAAGTGTTGTCTCCAAGGCTGTGCCTATGCTGACACCCAAGCCTTACTCTCAGCCCAAAAATACACAGGAAGTTTTAAAGAACTTTAAGGTAGGATATGTTGCACTCCTCAGAGTCAATTGGGAGGCAAAAAAAAGCCCCGAGTAAATCATCTCAGCATGTAAATGTTCAATGCAATATAAGTAAAAACTCGTAGCAACATTCTGACGTTATAAAATTCAGCTTCATGCACTGTGCTTTCCAGCCTAGTGGTCTTCTCTTGGCAACCAGCCTTTTGAGGAACTTGACCCTGGAGTATTTGTGCTGGTCATTTTCCATCAGGCTAAATTTGTTTGGGGGAAACAGAGAGAAATGGGGGGCCTCTAGGATAAAAGCAAGGCATTTTGTGAGAAAGAGGTTAGGGAAGAGTATGTTGTCATGTTTTTTGTTTGTTTGTGTTTATAACAAAAGGACAGGGGTGGGGTCCCTGGAGGCCTTGATGTTTGGAGTAATACCTGAACTGGCTTTTGTGTCAAAGATCTGATTTTGCCACACCCAGACAAGTCTGTCCCAATCAGCCAAGTCACAAGCCTTTGAAACACTGTAGTCTGCATCTATTTCAGAGAGTCACTACTCATTCAGGGTTAAGAACCAGCTTGCCCAGAGATGCTCTCTATCCTAAACATGCTTCTCACCAGGGATTAATGGGGAAAGCTGCTTCACTGGAGTAAAGAAGGAATACAGGGTGCCCATGCACATCGAGGGAAAACAGATTGGTACTGGGGCAGTGGTGTCACTGGGAACTGCTGGTGAGAGAGGTGGGGTGGCTGCACTAGGTTGCAAGAATTAGAGAAAGATTATGGGAATAAAAGAAGAGAACCTGGATAAAACTGGGGCTGCCTTGAATGAGGACCCAGAAACAGGCTTTGGAGTGTTGGCCGGGAGGGTTCAGAGAAGACTGAAACAAGGATATAAAACCTTGGGAATATATCCTTGGGCTGGGTGGATATGGAGAATGGAAGTAGGATTCCCTTCCCTTCCCTTCCCTTCCCTTCCTTCCCTTCCCTTCCCTTCCCTTCCCTTCCCTTCCCTTCCCTTCCCTTCCCTTCCCTTCCCTTCCCTTCCCTTCCCTTCCCTTCCCTTCCCTTCCCTTCCCTTCCCTTCCCTTCCCTTCCCTTCCCTTCCCTTCCCTTCCCTTCCCTTCCCTTCCCTTCCCTTCCCTTCCCTTCCCTTCCCTTCCCTTCCCTTCCCTTCCCTTTTTTTTTCTCACAGGACCCAGACCTATATGCATCACATTTCTGTTAATCCACACATAGTTCACATATACAGGGAGAAACTAACACGTGGATGCTTCTCCACCCTAGCCACCACTGAAAGTCCGTCTAGATCTTGATGTTGTGGAGTGAGATTTGTCTTAGTAAGAACCATTCCCTATACATGTATATCCTAATATTCCCTGTTATGTAGCTGTAGCATTATTTTGCCCCGAATCACCAGTCTGTCGGCGATTCTCAGCTCCAGTGACAATGTGTTGACTTGCTCCAGATCAGGAGAGGAGTATGTTTGTTTAACTCTGCAGCTGGGGCATCTGTCCTGATCATTCAAACATTTGGTTTTCCTCCCTAATATAAATAGAGAAATGTCTTAGTCTAAACAGAGACATTAAAATCGATGGTGTGGCCTGCCAGTGTTTTTCTGGCTTTTATATTTCTGAGGTCTTTCATGACCCACCTCTCTAGCAGATAATCCAGCACACAATCCCAGAAGACTCGGGGCTCAGCATCTGCCCACACTTGCAGCTGGAAATAAACCAAGGATTGTGCAGCGTGGCTGAAGGCAGTGAGGAAACTTTCCATCTGAAAAGCAGTCAGGACGGGTGAAACACGTGCAGAGCCTGGGAGCTGGCTGTGTGAGGTGCTAGCTGCCCACACCTCCCTGCCCTCCTGTCAGAGCTGAGGATGCCCAGCGCCCTGGAGATGGCCTCTCAGTACTCACCCTCAGATGAAGAGCAGGTCTCTGGACATATACAAGACATTAACAGGAGGGGTTTGCCCTTAGCACAGCACCAATCGCATATACTAAGTTGGAGTGCTGCTTTTGAGGTATCTAAGCTGTTTACTCAATAAGCAGAGTATTGGAGATAAGTGAATAGTGAACAGAGGAGCGGGGCAGGGAGGATGAACTGGCAAGGACTTCTCTTAAACCATGTCTCAGTTTGCTAAAGCAGTTTTGGTGCTTGTTGCATCCTTTTTCAATAGCAATGAAGTAAGCCAAAAGTTCCCACAGAAAGCCAGACCTCTGAGCCTGTTTTTACACGTTTTTTGTTTATGCAGTACCTGTGGAGAGCCCTGACATGACTCATCACCACATATATCCCGATGGCTTCCCTAAGAAATCACGGGTCTCTGCTGCTACTCCCCCAAAGTCCAATTAGTGGCAGAGCAGTCTCTCTGTACTTTCTCCATCACCTTTGTGTTGTCTCCTGTGATGATCCTTTTGCAAGGAAGGATCTCTGTGCAGAGATAAAAAAGCTCTTCTCCAAAACTCAGCCCTGCTGACAAGCCTATAAACCTTTCTGCTGTAGCTAGGCAGGAGCTATATGGTGCTACTGATACCTCGTGCTCTTCTGGTCCCTCTGCGGATCCCAGCTGGGCTCTTACTGTGAATGTCACACGAGTTTTTTGGAGCAAGACTTTCTCTGTGTATATACCTGGACTTCTACAAACAGCCTGCCAAACTGAAGGGACTTTCTAAGTGCTGTGCCCATCCAAAACATAGTGATGAGAGAAAGCTGTGTCAATGCAAAGGAAGAAGCTAGAGCTTGTTTTGTATTTTCTTCTTTGCTTAGGAGTTCCTCAGGGGGAATATAGGCCCTCCAAGGAGCAGGCTTAACCTTGAGAACAAAGTAGTTAAACTGTTTCTGCTCTCTCATCTCCATGATGACTGCATAAAATCATTTTCTGGGAAAGTGTCTATTTATTTTATAACTTCATGGAGAAGGTGGAATGCCCAATTTTATTTGTTGGTTCCTCACTTCCCTGTTATGAAAAGTAAAGAAACAAATGGATGAATTCTGCTGCTCCTGAGCCTTCAGACTTCACCCAGCAGTGCTTCAGAAAGCATATGCTAGTAATGCTGTGGTGAGCTTGCCAGACTACACAGCAGCTCGTTGGTTTAACTAGTCCTGGAGAACCAGCTGGCTTCTTGCACGACACAATGCAAAACCCCAAAATTTCAGTCTATAGCTTAAAGCATTGTTCTTTTAAAATCCACTGTGTATGTGATGTGCATAAAGGGTACGTGTAAGTTACTGGGAGAGCAAAATGTGGGAAACTGGGAAATCCAGGAATATCCTGAACTTCTGTCTGTATTTTATGACCCCACAGACTGGGGTTTTCTTCTATCTTGGCCTGTAGAAACGTGTGCTTGGCTCTGTCCTGCACTGGTGGTGTAGACTGTGTTAACAGCAATAGTAATGTTGTGTTGAAGTCTTAATTTCCTAAATTTCTCTGAATGCTAATTTCCTCCATGTATTTATTTAACTGTATTCTGCAGGTAGATGGAAAAGTCAGCGTGAATGGAGAGAATTTCAACGGAGTTGAAGAAAAGGATAAAGAGTGTACAACAGTAATATTTACTCAATCGCCAAGCAGATCTCTGAAATTTGATGGAGTAGCCAGAGGGGACAGGCCCCCGGTAGAGTTGAAGAAGGACCCCACAAGTGTTGAGCTCAGTTTACAGAGGCCTGCCACTCAGAGTGTGCACAAAGAGCCAACAGTAAGAGCAACACGAACAAACCAGCCTTACTTTCTCTGCCAATTTTCTGTCTCGTAATGTATTTAATCACTAACTAATGAAACCCAAGTGGTTATGTTTGTTTTATTTCAAGAGGGTGTGCCCAGACCAGGAAAAAAAATCCTTTGTAAATTAAAGGTTTCTTCCTCTGGGATGTGGGTAGAGAAATGGGAAGGGAAGGTTCAAAAACTTTTTGCAGCCAACGTTTCTTTTTTTTTTGGATGGCATGCAGCTGATAAGCATGCTTTAAATGTGCTGGGCCAGGGAGAAATTGACTCTGTGTCCCAGCTATTGTGCACGCTTATTCAGCTCTTCTCCTGATGTTAGCTGATTAGATCAGCAACATAATTGGACTGTGTGAGCCATTATAATTAGTCTCAGTTTTCAATTTTCAAATGAGGATGTGGATGTGCTGGCAGTTTTGAGCATTCAGCTTTTATTCCCCTCTCAGAAATATTAGAGAAGGGGATAAGTTATTGAAATACTCCAAGGGGCCAATGTGCTTCTTAACTGCCTTATCAAAGAAACAAATTAATTTTACCTTTTCATCTCTCTCCCCCACTTCCCCAGAGAGAAAGGCAGAAAAAAAAAATGGAGCATATCACAGCAGGAATCTAGATGCTACAAAACTATCACAGAAGTAGATGGTTAAAAACAAAACAAGAAATAAGGACTGGACTACTAATAAAGTATGTTAAAGGATTGCAACAAGTGGCAGGACAGGGAGTTTTAGCCATTCTTTTTTGTGTAACAACAAAGAGAATCAGAGATGCGATGAAATGTGGATTATGATAATTTTTTGCTTTCATCTCAGATTTCTTCCAAGTATCGGCCAGGTGGATAACAGGGAGTGGGCAGGGAGGGATGGTTCATTCATGCCAAAGGGCTTGTGTCTTATCTTACTTCCCTGCTTCATGGCAGTCTTTGGCCACAGACAGATGGGCTTTGAAGTCTACTTGCTGCAGAGTAGCTGGGAGCTGGGATGTGCACTGAGCACAGACTTGATCTTGTCAGGGGGAATTGGTGTATAGGCAAGAGTGAATGATTTGCAGGATGGCAGAGCAAAGATTTCTTGCTTCAGAATTAATTGGTCCTAAGGGAGAAGCCAGGTAGGCATTGCATCTGGTTTGGGAGAGCTGGGAAGGGGAATCTTTGGAGGGCAGAGAGGGGCCACAGCTTGCTATAGATTAGAAGCAATCACAATGGTGATCAGAAAATTAGCAAAACATAAATATTACTGTCTCCATTTTTAGGAGCTGTGGAAGAGTTGAGAGAAAATTCAGCAGTAGCAGCCACTGGGGCTCTTTGTACCTGTTTGATGGGCCTCTTTGTACCTGATTGATGCCCTTACCTTTTCTTTCCGTAGTTTTGGTGATGATGTGGCCAGCTGAATTCTAATTTTTCTGCTTTCAGTGTCTTAGCCCTCACGGTGATTTTGGCAAACAGGCAGAACTGCTTGAATTCTGAGATTCTTTGCAACTCTGATGTTTGCAGAATATCCTCCTGGTTTGTAAACTTGAGCATGCTTAATGGTGAAGTCGTCTGGAGAGAATGAGCACGCACCCAAATGGTGCTATTTCTCCATTCCAACAAAGGATTTTTTATCATTAGCTTCATAATTTGATCATTAATGTGACTGGGTAGTGCAAATCATTACAATTACTCCAGGCACTTCAGCCTCAAACAAAGGTGTGTGTGTCAGGCATGTCAAGGGCAGAGCACGGTGAGGAGGTTGCTTTGAGGGAGTCTACCACGGGCAAACAAGTGGAATGCACTGAGCATGACGGGGGCAGAGAGAGGGAGATCTGCCTGTGGCTGGGAGCAAATTCAGTAGCCTAAGATAAGATTCACTGATTTGTTTCCTTCTAAATACTTGCTTCTCTGTACCCAGATGCTTAGTTTTAATTTTCCAGGCAGCAACTTAGCTCAGTCAAGTGTACAGGAATGCCCTAGTTCATGGATAGGAAGGGCTGAGGTGCCAGGCCACAGAGATGGAGCATGGGACCGACACTTGGCTTCCTCACTGGTGTGGGGGCACAGGCTGGCCCTGCCAGACATCTCCAGATAGATGCCATCAGGCTGGGGCCAGCTTACCTGCTGGAACTGGGCAGCTACCTGGAGTCACTTCACTCAGCCTTCCCCCTGTCCCTGTTTTACTTTGGTTTGTGAACAACTGATAACAGTGATGTCAGCCAGCATCTGCGGTCTGGAGTATTGAGCTCATCTCGGAAGATACAGCCTCTCCTAGGAAGGCTGGGAATCCAAGCCTGGAAAGAAAAGAGCCATCTGGGCTTGTCGCACTCCTCATAAAACACCTTCTTGGAAGTAAAACCTCTGAAGCTGCCACTTTTATCACCTCCAGCTGCAAGAAACCTGTGCAAGGCTGAAGTAAAGACTGTCTTCTAGCTAGTGGTGATGTTGTTATGATCCTTCATGAGGCAACAGCTTAGTTGGCCACTGCGTCTTTTTATGAGACTGGTGTGGCGTTTTTCACAAGAAGTTTTTCTTTGTAGGGGCTTGGTTAAACATGTGTTTAGTTTGACCCACTCAGAAAGTTTCTGTCTGATGTTTAACCCTACTGAACTTTTAGGAGAAGACGCAAACAGGGATAGGAAGCAGCCAAGATGAAGAAGCAGAGCTGTCTGAAGTGGAAGAAGCAACTACATTTCTGCTAAGAAAAAAAATACAAACAGATGCAATGGAGCATGTTTCAAAGTCTTTTCTAAACTTGCTTTCACTGCCTTTATTTGCACACTTTCCCTTATTTATATAGTTTAGAGACTTGTTAGCTCCGTCCTTCCCTGGCTTGGATTAAGATTCACAGGCACCAGTTCCTCTGTCTACTAAGAGATGCTCTTTCTAGTTTTTGTTGCTTTGTTTTTGTTTTCCTCTAGTTGCTCCTAGCTTAGTTTTCTTTATGTATTTTATTAGCTCACTTTCTGCCCAGACTCTCTTGCTGTGAGAGTTCATATTCCTTTTCGTATAGATGTTACCTTTGGCCCTTCTGTCCTCCTCATCTGATTCTCTTCCTGTTCTTTGCATGCCCCTTCCTCCTCCATCCCTCTTACGGCTGCTTCCCTGCTGTTTCAATTCAGTTGTCAAATTGACCGGTCCTGTCTTCTCTCTGCCTGGCAGCCTTCCCTTTGAAGCTGTGTAGCCCTGCTCTAAATCTGTCCGGCTGGCCTCAGGCGTTGTCTGCAGTACGGGAAGATGCTGTGCAGCTGTACTTCAACAGCTCTCTTGGCCTGAATTTTGGAAAAAAGTTTAATCAAGTTGTACCACTTGAAATGCTAGTGTGATTTTTTGGGAGCTAGAAAAGCGTAAGAACCGTTTTGTATGGGTTACTCCATACCTCAATGTAGGTTGTCTTTCAGACAAAAAAGAACCCCCACATACATGCAAACCCTGTAATGATTGGTGACCAGCGACTGATTGGGAAATATTAATAACTCCTGTCTGGATTCACTATGAAATGGGATGCAAAAAGCTGCAGCAGGTGGGAAGCATGGTAAAGAAGAATATTTTCCAAAAACTGGGCTTGTGTATGTATCGTGTATACAGAGTACTTAGATTTTGGGGGGGTTTTACAGGAGACATACCTTTATTCAAAGTAGTTATATTTTGCCTATGATTCAAGGCTGACTTTGCTAGGAGATATAAATTTGGCCTATGAGTAGGATGGAAGTATCCCACTGGTGCTTGTGGAACAATGTGCAGCTAGGAGAGGTGGCAGGTAAAGCACACCTCTTTTTTATTTTTTTTCCCCTGCAAAAACTGGGGCAGAAGCCCAAAGACTGACATGCTCAAAATCCTCTGATCAGTCAGAGGCAATGCCAGGAACAACGTGAAAATCATCTCCTCACTTTAGTCCTGTCTTTCAGCCATTAGGCTGTGTTTTCTTTCTATCATACATAGCAGTTATGCACATTACAAATACTGAGAAGTTGTATCCTCTTACTCTTTGAATTAGAAGTTGGCAAAATAAATGTTTTGTTTTAAAACAATATTTGTGCAGATTTTAGTGTAGGGGGATTAATTTGTCAGTGTGTAACACCACTTTATTTTAACTAATCTTTGTATGGCCATTTAGAAATTACTGGCTTGTTATAGCTCTAATTATAGCTTTGCTCTGATCAACCAAAAAATAAATAAATATAGACAGTAACTTTAAAAAGATCGGGGTGGGGTCGTGGTGGTGGGGAGATTTGGGCTTTCTTTTAATTTTTAGTTAGCCAGCTTAAACTTGTCCGTTTCTACTCACTGCATGCTTGGCACAAAAGAAACATTTTTTTTTTCTATATCCAAGTAACACTCTCCTTCATCTTCAAAAATCCACTGATTGAACTGAGATTAAAGTATAAGCTTTCTTGTGGTTGGGGATTGTTGGCCAAACTACAAGCGAGCAGGACTGAAATCCTGATTTGTACATATCTGGTAAGACAAGTCTTTGTTCTTTGATTCATTACAAGAAACACTTGCAGAGTAAGGTATATATATTCCAGATTGACAGCTTTTCCTTAACCATACATGGGAAGATGCATGGCGGGCTGGACTACCTGAAGGGAAAAAGGGTTAGAGTGAGAAATAAGAACAACAAAACTTCAAAGTGGGTAGAACAGAACTCTGCTTGCGATGTGGTTATGAATTTAGCATCCATGTCTCCCATCACGCAGACCCCCATCCGATTTTCAGTGTCTGCAAGTGATAGGAGATTGTTTTTTGCCCAATTGAGCAGTGATAACGAGCAAAAATGACTCTAACAAGAATTCTTAACACTATTTCTTGCAGCACTTTGAAGGCTTCTCTGTCAATTACTGATCCACCCTGGTCTTTGGCTGTAATAGCTGATCTGATTATAGCATTATCTAGCTGCCAGTGAAAGGGGCAGATGATTTAACATGTCAGAGCAGTGTCTGACTGCAGCACTGCACTGGCATAGCATGCAAGGCACTTACCTCGGGCAGCCCAAGGTCATTTCAGCGTTACCACTCGCAACAGAATAAGCTAGCTTCAATTAGAAAATCATTGTATGATATTTTAAAGGCTTGGAATATAACCTGTAAAATGCTGATACATATACAATTTCCATCATAGAAGTTTAAAGGATGCATTGGGTAATTTGTACATGTGGCTATTGATACTGCAACCAATTTCATTCCTGAGGGACTTTACAGAATTCACACTGTAGTTCTCACCTGATTCTTCCAGCTCTCTGCATTCTTGCTGGTTCCAGACAGCTTGTTTTGTCATGTTTTCATAGAAAATACAGTATTACCATTTTATGTGATTTTGTGTACAAGTAGTGTTAACTGACCTGCAGTTTGACTTAATTTACAATAAGGGCTAATAAAGTTCTGCTGTAACTTCCTTTGGAGTTTGAATTCTTGTAGCAGTTGTGAAGTTCAGTGTTTCAGAGTTCCTAGTTAGTGTATTTTTAGGGTTTTGTAAGAAAGGTTCTGCCACAGCAGTAGGCAATGGGGCTGTTTCTGGCTTATAGGATCATAGCTCAAGAAATACCTGGATTGATATCCTAGTCCATGGGATAAAAGATCCTGTCGGCCACAAACTGAGCTGATATATTGTCATGCCAAACAGGAGTTTGATAACACTACACAAGAGCTTCCCTCTTAGGTACCCTCAGCAGAGGCAGTGGTGCCTCTTCCCACATGAACGCTGTGGTGTGGACAGGCTGCATGGGTCCTTCATCCCAAAGTCTCAGATCTACTCTGAAATGCCCAAGGAACATTACTCACTAAGGTGTTTTTCAGTGCCCATGTCAAAATACAGTCTTCCCAAGTGCAATTGAATGTTTTAATGGCTTTTTTATATTCAGTGGTAACATTGCGCTTTGATTACAAAATATTTATGAAATGCAAGTGGTAGTCTGTGGTAGAAAAGACATTTTATTGGCTCCATCAGTACATGATTTTTTTACAATGCATCTTATAGCTGCGGATAAAATACCAGATAATATTACATTACTTGGTATTACAAATAGAATTAGATACACTGGGAATGAGAGTTCCCCGGTGAAGTTCACTTAATCTTTTTTTGTAAATTACTTACTAATCAGTTTTATATTTTTAGCTTTATGTTGCTAACATTTAATTGCTCAGCAGAGGGAGGAGAAAGAGTCAAGTCTCGTGAGCAGGAGCAGGGCTTCTGCAGTATGTCATTTCCAAAATCAATTCTCCTGCAGCAAGCAGTAGCTCTTCCTTTTTTTTTTTTTTACTCCTCTTTGAAAGAATTTCTATAAATAACATCTGTATCTATAACTAGCTCAACCTCCATACTGGATAGTAAGATCATAGGTGGATTTAGTTGAGATTTCACTTACACAGGATAGCAGCGTGGCCCAGCACCAAGTGTAGGTTCCTGAGATAACTCTAGAACTGGAGGAGATAATGTTGTATTGGCTCCATGTGTTTGCTGAGCCTTTTAATTTTTCAGTTTCAGCAGTTGCTTTTTGAGAGTGGAGGGTGAGTTCCGTTGCTTTACATAATAATAATCTAAATATTAATAATTGAAACATGAAACGATTTCATTGGAAGGCTTGTATTTTGGAATGATGAATAGAGCTATCGGGTAGGTACCTTTTGCCTTTCCAGTGAAAATGTACTTTTTAGAGGGCAAACAGTGAGCTTTTGGTAATAGCTATTTGTTTAGTTTTAACGGAGGACTGCGGGTTGTAGAATCACAGAATAATTCAGGTTGTAGGTCTCCAGCAGGGTCTTCTGGTCAAAGCAGGATCAGTTATAGGAGCTGACCAGGTTGCTAAGTCCTTAATCATTCGAGTCTTGAAAACCTCCAAGGATGGAGATGGCAGCCTGTTACACTGCCTGGTTGTCCTCATGGAGGAAGAAATACTTATTTCTGCATTGCACAAGGGTGGGAGTGAACAGAAGATTCCCAGTAGTAGTTGCTGTCCTGTCAGGAGCCAGAACTGAGGTTGAAGGAGACACCTTTAGGTGCGGTATTTTTTTGCTGGGGTAGAGGAAGGGGCAGAAGCTTTCACTGAAACACAGGCTGGCATCAAGGTGAGCTGGGGAAGGGTGAGGTGGGTTATACAGAAGAAGAGAGCAGCAGAATGACAAGGGGCAAACCTATTGCATTTGTCTGGGTTTGCCACCTGCGCCTTGCCTGGAGCAGAGGACTTGGGTGGGCAGAGGTGAGGGTGCAGCGAAGGCACCAGGCACTGAGGAGAAAGCCCTGTCCGGGGCAGCCATCCCCAGCAGGTGCCGGAGGGGATACACTGCCACTTCCAGCCACTCACCACTGTCACTTGGTGCCTATCCTGCCTCCCAACACTGCCCCTGGCCACAGCCCCGTACCAGGACTGGTCTCAGGGAGTTGTCCCAGACACGTTCTCTGCCCCTCGCCACAACACGCTTCCCTCCAGAGAGAAGCAGAGACACAGGGGTTTGCTCCCACTGCTAACAGCAAAGCTCTTTGAAGTCAAAGTGTGCCCACAAGGTGCCTGCTGGCACTGGCATCCTGCTGGCACTGCCACCAGACGTCCCGGTGACACCGCTGGGGGAGCCCAGGCCTGCTGCCCGTGGGGCCTGCATGGATGCGGGGCCGTAGGCTCACGGCCGTCTGTGGGGAGGGGAGGCAGTGTCTGCGCAGAGGGCAGAGGTGTGAATCCTGCCCCCAGAAAAGAGGAAATTTCAGCACATTTCCTCTCTCGCAGCTGTTAATAAGATTGAGGGACAGGAAAGGGAGTCTACAAAGATTGCTTCTGAAATGCGTTGCTTTTCATTTCTAAACGTATTCTGCTTCTTTTTTTTTCTTCCTCAGTTGGATGCGCCATCTTCTAGCTCTCTCATGTGCTAGAGGCACCGCGCGGTAGCTGATTGATTTGCTGCATTTTTTTTTTCCTGATTTGCCTACCGGGAAAGCAGATAAAAAGGGGAAGCTGCTGAATAAATCAGCTGCAATGCTACTGTTGTTTTGATGGTGTGGTTTAGCTCTGCAACAGGTTTGTCCTGGGTCAGGAAGCTGGCTTTTCAAAACGATTTGGATTATTCACTTGATATGGTCTCACCATTTTTTTTCAGTCCTTTCCCAATAACACTTCAAGTATTTCATTACCTTTATTACCAACTCTGCCTTTTCCCTTCAGATAACTGATTGTTTAGACAACCGTGAAATAAAGGAAGTATTTAATTACTTTGCCACTTTTAAAGCCCTCGAATGTGCTGGGTATTCACTGATGCATACGTTTTTGTGTTATTCTGGAAGAGAAAACCAGGGGTGAAATGTATGCTTATCTCCAGCTAACACAATTCAAGATATCCTCCAATTTTAAAAGCTTGCGTGAGCTATTCCAAAGCGACTGCATAATGGCTGCTTGCTGAACGCTTAGAAAAGGAGATTAAAGCCCGGTGACTCGGTGCCAGAGCAGCACATACCGCTCAGAGACTCGCTCCCCGGTGCACAGCTCCCTACCAAGCTCTAAAACAGCCTGGTCCCAACACATTATGAAGCAGCAGCGAGCACTGCTCTACAGAATTAACCCATACTTTTATTTCCAGTGCACTCACTGCATTTCCATCCTCTTCAGGCCTCCCCAGGGGAAGTGGATCCGGCAGCCAGCCAGCAGACCGAGGGCAGCCCCGGCGGAGCAGGACCAGGGAGCCCTTTGGGCGCATCCCCAGGTGGGTGGCTGCTGCCCTGACCCCTGTCCTGGCCCACCACTGGTCTGGGCTTGATGCCCACCCTGCAGCAGCTGCAGCCCAGTAAGTGCATCTGCAGCGGCACCAAGAGGGTTTATTAGACAGTGCAGAAGAAGGCAGAAATGACATTCATGGTTGCACGCTGCTCCGGGTGCAAGGTGACAGTGTTGTGCACTGCCTTGATTTTCTGCTTTAAAGGCTCTATGCACAATCCCTAATCTGGGAAAATGAATTTACTCGTAAAATTTGAAACAGCTATCCTCAGAATGGTGTTTTTGAAATATTACCTTTGAGCATGCATTTTATCTACTGCCTGTATCTATTTTATCATACTAAGCTCATGGTCTTTTTCTGTTTGTATTTTTGAAATGGGTCTATTAAAGTTCAGCTTGGTACAGGTAAGTAAAAGGGACTGTTTACAGTAGGTATTTAAAGGAAATCTCTGCCTGTAATTGGTATATAAATATGCTGCTCCAATTTGCTGAAGAGATAAATGTGACTTAAGTAATTGAGCTTGTCTCTCAAACATCAATGGAGTACCATCCTCCAAGATTAGAAGCACATCCAGACTTTTCTTGATGTGCCGCACAACTATGACGCACATGTACTGCTAGTGACAGCTCATCGGCTGGCTTAATTACTTTGTCTCATAGTTAGAAATAGGCCAGACTTCCAGGTAGAAAAAAATCACTGCATAGCAGCACAGAGTGTAACAATCTGGAATTGCAGCTGGCAAGTAATGTAGAGATTGCAGGTGTGGAATGAATCAACCAAATCCTCTTCTCAACAGTCAGCAGTGAGGAGCTCCACACCTGTGAGAAATGCTAAACATTAAGTATTGGTAGCAAAGGTTAATATGGTCTGCCAAAGAAAGCTGGGAGAACATCTTGAGAAAGCTGCAATGGCAAAACAATGTGGATTTTCAGTGTCTGCTTTGGAGGGATAGATGTGGTCCAAGCTGTGTGACAGACAACCTCATCTGCTGTTCAGTATAAGCCATATACTTCCATGCTGTGACCCCTAAGCCACTAATGGTGTGGGAACTGCTCCAAAGTGGTGTGCATCTGCCAGGCAGCAGGAACAGCTCTTGTCTCTGCTGGTGTGGGCGTTCTTAGTGCAGCTTTGGGGTGCCTCCCTTTCTTAGCTCCCTCTCCTAGCCTGTCAAAGAGGTACCTGTTGGAGGTGGAACAGGATCAGAAGCTGAGATTGTGTTCCAGAATGTTTAAGAGATGTGTGGGTGCTTGTGCACTGCCTGGGATGGCAGAAACTGCTCCATGGTGGTGCCAGCTGGCAGCCACTGGGTTTTCACAGACCTCAGCTGTGGGCCCTTGTGCTCCTGGTCCCTTGTCCTTGTAAACCAGCATAAATTTAGTGTTTTTTGTTTGTTTGTTTGTTTGTTTTTGTTGTTGTTTTTGTTTGTTTATTTGTTTGTTTGTTTGTTTTTCTGTGTGTGTGTGTGTGTTGTTGGTTTGCTTTTTTTCTTTTTTTAAGAACTGAGTCCCAACCTGGTTATTCCAGTCCAAGGCTTCCTTTTACCACAATTTCTTTGCTTTCTGATGCCTGACTGACTTGGTTCAGTGGAAACAGCCAAGCTGGCATGTCTTCCAGTGCTGACAGTGAGACCATGTTAACTGTTGTAGAGCTGCTTGTCCAGGTAGCACCTTAGAATAGGATTCATCACACAGCTCTAGGAATGCGCACTACAGAGATCTGTACCTCAGTAGATGTGTTAATAGGTTACAGCTCATTTCAGACAAGAAAAGTGTCTGAAATTGTTTGTGTGATCCTTCTCGAAGGAGTGCCTTTCTGCCTTTTTTAACCATGAAGGGTGTCCCATAGTGACCAACTCAAATGTCAGCATCTACATTTCATCAGGTGAAATTCATCTTTCAAGTTTTGTCTTTTCTGAGAGATTAATTTTGCCAGTGTTGAAGAAAGAAGATATGAAATAAGTCTACATTGTATCTGGAAAAAATATCTTAACCTTGTGACGTTCTCTCTTGTATGTGTGGATTAGGTTCAGATCAAAAGCAATTCAAGTCAACTGCAGCTTGTGCCAGCCCTGTTGTGAAGAGCTTAGAGTTTCCTCCAAGTCCTGTCCCTTCCAAGGATGTTGCTCCAAGTGAGAAAGATGTGAAGAAACCTGAAATGGAGCAGCAGAAGGAAATAGTGCTCCGTGCTACGCAGGAGGTATGTACGGGCAGGAAAGAAAGGGAATGGAAAATGAAACAAAGAAGAAGACCTCATAAGGAAATGGATATTGTGCAAATATCTAGTTGGTATTTTCTCTCTGTATGATGTCATAACAGGATTTCATTCAAAATATGTCAAGGAATGACCCTGAAAGATGTTTTCTGTGCCAAATCCAATGATTATAAGAGAGTTCCTCCTCCAAAGAAACTCCCCGGTGTCTGCTTGGAGTGTTTGAATCTGTAAACTGGCTGTAGCAGAAAAGAGAACTCAACCTGCAAAGCCCAGTCCCTCCACACACTGGGAGAGCAGAATATCCAAAAGGTGTAGACAGTGGATCTTGTGTATGTGGCAGGGGTAACAAACGGCCATCACCATATTGCTCTGTCAGGTACACTGGATGATGGTCCTGGGTTAGGATGAGCTTGGGTGTGCAGAGTATCAAGAACAAACAACTGGTGGTTATTTTCATTGCTTCAATATTGCAAGTGCATATTGCAATTCTGGAGATAGAGGCTTATTAAACTTTGATAACGTTGTTTTAGAAATTAATAGAAAGGGTTTAAGTTAATCTTTGATTGTACCTCGTGATTTTTGAATGCAGTTTTCTGTTCCCAAACATCTCAACAGGTAATAAAACCGAAGGCCCTGGAACAAGAAGGGAGTATAGTATTGCCATTTTTAAAGAAGCTGCCTGAGACCAGCCAGGTCACTCTGCAGAATTCTGATCGACAAGGTGAGCAAAAAGAGAGGTTGAGAGCTGCAGAGAATTCAGCTGGATGTATGCATGTCTGTGGTAGTCAGGGGGGAATGCCTGATCAATGGTCTGGAGGGTTTGGAAGATAGTGTGTTTAATTTCTAGTTGCATCTGACTGATACTGGTAGTGTGGCTTCTGTGATGCAAGGGGCATTTCTTGCTGTTCCCCTTAACCACAGCAGCAGAATTGTGACACGAAGGAGGGGGTCAGGGTGGATGCTAACTTGCATTTGTCAAGCCTAACAGTTAAAGTTGTATTATGTCCATGAGTATTATATTTTATTAGTATGTTGCTCACAGATGAAAATGGCTTAATAATTGGGTTTATCTCACAGTAAAAACTCCTGGAGACAATTCCTCACTCAGCTGCTTGTGTGTAGCTCCTCTTTATAGATGATCTACATACATATCTGGCCACATCCCCCAGTTTGACCTCTGCGCATCACAAGCTCTTGCAAAGCAGAACTTATTTTTCTTGCCTTCATGACAAAGTATTGCTTGAGATTGGTAATATTTAGTAGTTTTATTTTATATTGATTTTAGAGATGCATATATGTGGGTATTGTGAAAGAAAGAGAGAGGGGGAGACAGAGGGAGAAAGGGAAGTTTTCTTCCCCCTGTGAACTTGCGAGGCCGTCAGCTTATACATAGGTAATATAATGATTATCCCAGCATTTCACTGAAGGTAATCCACTGTGGAAAGCAGGAATGTCAGTAAAGGAATGAGAAGTCTTACTTGTTTTAGGTGGGAAGGTACTTTCCAAACAGGCTTTGCCAACAGTATTGTCTTGTTTCAAGCACAAATCAGTCCAAATACGGAGTGACAGATTGTAGGTGTCTCTAGTATTTTCTAAATGATGCTGAAACACTTGGCTGCTCTCTAGTGTTCACAGCATGTATACCATGAAAAGATCAGATAATCCTTTAAAATATGCATGTACAACAGAAACAAATGTGAGAGTGTATTAGCATTTCTGTGCTAGAGCTCTCATATAGGGTTAGGTGCCATGCTGCAAAAGTAGCATTTAAATTTGGGTAGTCCTTGTGATCTGCAAGGCCTTTAAAAACCTTTTGAGCTTGTTACAAAGCTGCTGTAATAAAAACCCCACTGGTGGCCGAGTAGGCCAGGGTCTGAGCCTCGCCACCACCTTTTGACCGCCCTGTTTCTTGTTTTGTCTCTGTGCCGTCCCCTGCAGAGCTGCCCCGCGGGGCCGCGGTTCCGCTTAGGGTGCGGAACGACTGGCGGCGCTCACGGTTTTTCTCGCAGCCAGGTAAATGCAGCACTAAGAGCAGCTTCATCCCTTGCGCTGCCTCGAGTCCTAGGTGTCTTCAGCTGTGGGACTGGGGCGAAAGCTGATGATCCCGGGGACTTTTTCTGCCTCTCACTTCCGTAGAAAGCATCTATTCCTGTTGCACAGTTGACAAAGAGCTGTTGGGTTACGCGTTGCTGTGATGCTCTGGCTTCAGGCACCAAATGAAATCACCTGCCTCTAAATACCTTTTCCTTATTTCTTTACATCAGCCTGAAGACATGAATAGAGAATGGCAACGGTCCTCTTCGTAACTGTGGCTCTTGAATAGCGTAGTCCCACCCTTGTAGCTTTGCTATGCTTTTTCCTTCCTTGCACTGAACCACAAAGGGAAAAGTAGATCAAAGTAGGTAGTGCTCAGTGTTCAAACACTGCTAATGGCTGTGGCCAGAAGTAGACAGCAGTAGCTAGTGGTAGAGTAGAACCTGGTGTTAGTTAAAGTTGTGCTTCTCTGTACCCAAATTAGAAGTAGCTTTGTTGGTGATGGGTGTAGTCTATTTTTCTGGTTTGTTTGCTTGCAATTTGTCCTTGCATTTGGTTGTGGGAACAAATAGAAAACTAACATGAGGCTTTTTTATACAGAAACAACGTAGCTTTAATTGCAGGCTAAGCACTTTTTGCTATTTTGTCTTGTTAAGTTTAATTTTTCCTTTTTTTTTTTTTCTATAGCTGATTCTGATAGTGGTGACAAATCAAACGTAAGTACCATTTTTGTATTGTCGTTTTGGTTTAGATATATGTGTTGAACAAAAGTGATTTATTTTTTTTTTAATGCAAACTGCCTTCTAACATCCCCAAATCAAACTGAGAGAGAAAAAACAGAATCCAAGCCAAAACATGGTCTAGATCTGTGATTGAAGTGTTCTTCCCTGGATAAAAATTTAAAGTGAGGCTTTAGGCTGTTGTGCCGGCAGACATATGAAATGAGAGAATATATTTCACATTCACAAATTTCTTTGCATGTTGCACAGAAGATTACAGAGAAGAAAAATAGAAGTTTTCCTTAAATTTGGGCACCTGGAGGAATCTTTGTTCAGTGCTGCTTAGAGCTTTCTTTCGGGTCTTTTTCTTTTTGTTCCCTCCAGTTGAAGTTTCCCAAGCCTTTCTTTGCAAACCAAATGATTATTCTCTCATTTGGATACCTGTGGGAAAACCCAAGTGTCAGTGAAGCTCAGGATATGGTCTGCTAACTAAGAGTACCATTATCTGGTTCTGAGTTTCCCATTTTAACAACACTGCTGGGGGCAGGCCAGAGGAAGTGCAGCCTTCTGGTAGCCTTGTGAAGAATTAAAGTCTAACAGCTTGGTTTTCCTTCACACAAGCGCTTCAATTTCTGGTCCTGGGATCCAGAAGAAGAGCGGAAGCGTCAGGAAAGGTGGCAGCATGAGCAAGAACGCTTGCTTCAGGTAAGGAAGATGCTACATTTCTTCCACCATGTGCCTCAGCTGCTTCCAGCTCCTTTAGACAAAAGTAAAGCATTTCATGTCATGTCTTCCACACCCTCTGTGGATGCTTTAGAGAGTTCTGTAGCATATGAATGAACCAAATACTCTCTGTGGTTTATGCAGTCTTACTTCTCCCTTCCCCACACCCTGGGTGGACTGAAAGGATTTAGTTCTGCATTCCAATGCAGAGTTCAACCAGATGTTGATCCTCAACTATATTTAAAGTATGTTGAGCATAAACTGTGAGACTCTTAATTACTTAGAGCCTCTTTCTTGAGACTAATATTTTCCTAACCCTGATGCTTGTGCAACTCTTCTTTGTGCAACTGGTCTTAGTAACTTTTTGTAGATTTCTGCTGTGTTTGCATGTTCTTGTTGGAAAACATCAAACTAAATTTGTACACAAAGGTGGTGGTTTTTTTGTTTGTTTGTTTGGTTGGTTTGTTTTGCTTTGTTTTGTTTTGTGAGGGGGAGAACCCTCCTCAAAACAACCACTGGTTTTGCTTGGTGGTGTAGAGTATTCTATAAAAGCTTTGGGTTTGTGTCGTAGTTGGGAGAAATGCAACAGCCCTGAGAACTTGAATTTCCCCGCTCTTACTAGTGTCTTTTGATATTACTCAGTATCAAAGTAGTCAGTGAGTAGTATCTTTTGATACTGGTTAGGTTTGATCGGTCCCAAAGAAGTCATATGTTTCCTCCATGCAACATAAGAGCACCAAACCGTCCAAGGATGAAGAACAGTAAAATGGAGTCTTTTCATCTTGCACAACTACTTGTGTGTCTCTGTGCTGCTTTCTTCGGCTTATTTCTTTTTAGCTAGTACGTTTATTTCCTCTTGGAATGGTGTAAAGTTCTCGTCATGGTTTTTCTGACAAATTCAGGTGTTCTTTTGACAGTAAATGCATTTATTTTGGATTAGGCAGATGTGGTTTCTAATTTGAACAGAAGTTGGAACTGTTGTAAAAGGCATATAGAAGTCACCATTCTTCCCCATATTCAAACCAGTTCTGTCACACAATTATGAAAATCTCTTTAAGGTAATTTTTCATATAAAACTGTGTGAAATTAATTCTCAAAAAATGATCCCATCAAGGAGGAAAATGAACTGCTTAGCAATTATGAGCTTACCTTCATCAAACCTTTGCAAACTATTTATTTATCTTTTAAATTTGCACAATTATTCATCATCCATTATATTGTACCGACATCTCTCTTGAATTAGTTCCAAAACCAGCATCTGCAAAACCTGTTTGTTTGTATTCTGCTTAGCTGTAATTATTAATGCAAAATCCATGCTTAAATGTTTTCAGGTGTGTGATAGCTTTTTACAATTTTTAAAACTATATAATAAACAAGGAATTATTGAAATTGTTTAGAATAAATTTAATTTCTGTCTAAGCACATAAAAACTTCTAACAGGTTAAACTTCTTGTAGTATGCTAAAAGTTCCATATGGTTTGAAGGTCTTAATTGTAAGAGATAGAAGCAAGTGGGAAAAGGAGGAAAGGAAGCTTTTTTGACACCCATGGATGTTTCTAATTTTTACCTTTCTGTTTCATCCTGTTTCTGATGGAGCCATTTTTCACAGGTTCATTTTCACTGTAGAGATACCACAGACTTTACTCCCAATATGGTATGCTCTGAATTAACCTCTGTTTGTATCCTCCTACAGGAGAAGTATCAGAAGGAACAAGACAAGCTGAAAGAGGAATGGGAAAAGGCACAGAGGGAAGTTGAAGAGGAGGAGCGTAGATACTACGAGGAGGTATAAGGCTGAAAGGAGGAGGTTTATTGACTTTCTTGTATTTAAATGCACCCACTTATGTAACCAAAAGAAAACCCATACCTAAATTATTAAATGAAAGACTTCTCAAGGCTGAATTCTCAGGAGGATTGCTTCTCTTAAACACTACCATAGGCACTGAGGAAAACTATTTAAATATTTAGACAGGTATCCTCAGAGTCTCTGGCAGAGGTGGAGGTGCCTAATTGCCATGCAAGTCTGGGTGAGTCAAAAGGGTTGTGTCTGGGCCCGCTCAGGCTTCCCTGCAGAGTGAAAGTCTTTTGTGCTTTGGCATATACTTGATGTCTGGACTTGGTGGAATTCCAGATGAAGTTATTGTCTGCCTTGGGCTTCATCATGTAGATGTTTTGTAATCCAGCCTGTTTAAAAAAAAAATATCATAGGAAATGTTCAAATCTTCCAGTTGTAGAATATTTACAATATAGACAATAGTGTTTTTATTCTGTCATATATGGGTCGTTTTTGCAGAAACATGGAAAATATCAATGTTGTTAGTCTGACTAGTAGTACCTTATGCAAATTGATGTATTATCATCTGTGCTTGAGAGCCATGCTTGTAATCTTAAGAAAAAGTTTTGGTTTTTTTTTCAGCTTTTGAAATAGGTTTCTTGTGTACTAGGTGTAATTTCTTATTTTTATATGTAATTTAATTGACCAATGTTGTGAGAAGCAGTGGCGCCATCCCAAGTAGAATACTTTTTTCAGTTTGGAAATGGGCATCCCGTCTCAAAGATGGTAATGGTGGAAGGTAGGGGATTTTAAAATGTTGCAGCAAATTAAAAGTTGAGGTATTACCGTTATTCTTGGTAACACAGGTTCTTTCCTAGCCATATAAATACGAACATGTAGCCAAACTTTACATTTCTAATTTTTAAGCATGTAGTTATCATTCTGTTTTTTAACTCCCACTCTCTCCTGGTCCTCTCTTTTTTTTTTTTTTTTTTTAGGAACGTAAGATAATTGAGGATACTGTAGTTCCATTCATTGTTTCTTCAAACTCTGCTGATCTCCTCTCCTCTTCTTCCTCTACCACTGAAGGAAATAAAACAGAGGTGAGTTTCTTGTGGAATCCTAAGGCAATAAAGACAAAGCCATCTTCAGTGCAGAGTTTCACTCTTTGCTAAAGGCTAGCGAAGTCTGGGAACAATGAGAGGAGTATTTCCTGGAGTATTTCCTGGATACCTTCCATAACTGGCGATACCTCAAAGTGCTGTAACTTGTATATTTTCACAAGTGAAGAGACGTATTCCTAAACCAACAGGCATTGTCCCATTTTGGACTGGAGCAGAGGGCTAAACTTACTTTTTTTGCAGCTACTTCTCTTCTTTGACTGGTGCTGTGAAAAAAGTCCCCTGTTTCTGTTTGTTTTACCTACCCTCTCAAAGCCAACAAAATCTGAAGTTATTTCCCTGCATGCGAAACCTTGACTGTCAGACAGTGCTTTAAGCATATCTGAGTTGAGATTGAATCCTACCTTCCTGCTTTTCCACCTTTTCTGTCCTGCCATCTCTTCCAGAAAACAGCAAAGCAAATGGAGCTCTATTTAATCCAATTAATTGGCTATGTTAGCTGAAGTCTTTGTTAAATACAAAGTTAGCCTTATTAAAGTCAAATGATTCCACTGTATAATGTGAGGTGTTCTTTATGAAGATAAGGTGTGTAAACACAATATACCTGGGGGTACCTTGTGCTTTGCTCATGTGCATGCTGATGCTGAGTTCAAGAGAAGCTCCTTGTTCCCTCCCCTGCTGTCTTCTAGAACACAACTGATTCAAACAGCTCTCCAGAGGAAGGCAAACAAAATGAAGTTACAAGGCAGAAAAAACTGCTCTGGGAGCAGGACAGTATTCCACCTCTGAAAAGCAAGGAAAATGAACGCTGGCAAGAAAAGAGGAGGTATGGATCAAGCCTAGGCATTTCTTAGCCCTTTGGAGTTTTGTGTTCTGTATAGTTCTGGGACATCACATTTGCCAATGATTGATGCTGGAACATCAGCATCTGACCATGAGGCTGTGATAACTGCACATGTAAAGGTGGTGGTTCCAGTGGTGCGACAACTACTAGAGGAGGAAATAAAGTGCATTTGGTCTTATTCTTCTCATTTCATTGGCATGGTGATAGGTGTAATACATCCTGATCAGGCTTATGTATATATGGCCATGCGTGGTGCTAGCTGGCCATGTCAGAAGGCTTACCTTTTCAGCATACGACTTCTCTGAGAGGTTGTTACATCAACCAGATCAGAATCAGATCCTAGCCCAGACATCTGTGTATGTCACTGCACTGTGTTTTGCTTACAAGTTTCACAAGCCTTTGGGATGAATGAAGGAGAAGGAGCCATTTTCACTCAGAAGCAATGTGAGATTGCCTGTCTGTCTCGGAAGTGCCATACCCAAACTTGCCAAATGGTGTTCCAAGTACTGGTCTTTCGTCAAACTGGTAATCACAGCTTTCACAAAGCATCTGATGATGCTGAACGCTGTATAGAGAACACTGAAAGAAGCTGTTTCTCTACCAAGTAAACCATTTTCCACAAATCCAGAGTGGTCTCTAGTGCATGTAAGTGGCTGTGTGTGAGGTAAGAAGGAACACCTGGCACGTTTGGAGTCAGACTTGTTAACTCATGGCTGTTACCCATTGGTTTGTCAGTGCTGACACATATAACAAAACTTCTGTTGCACATAATAAGTGCACATTTTTGCACTTACATTCAAAAATCTGATTTTACCATTAGACTCTAGTTGGATTTTTTCCTGGCTTTATTTATACAATGTGACTTATTTTTGTTGGCAGTGGAAATAAAGTGCTCTCAGGACACCCAGAGACGGGTATCTTGAAAGGAGGTGAACAGGAGCACCAGGTGTCAATGATGGAGCGCAGCTCGCCTGCCCGGCTGAATCTGCCGTTGACTCAGGGTGAGAGTCAAGACCTTCATACGCATGTATTCTTACCCAGATAGAAATCTTGCAGGTATTTATAGTGGCTTGCAATTTAACTCAGAGAATTTTGGAAATTAACAGCACACTTACTTCTTCAAAATTTGAATATCTCATATTCAAAAGTTGTTTTCTGTTAGTAAAGAGAAATAAGGTAAAATTTAAAATCATATTTACATCAGCAATTAATGTTTTGGCTGCAAGTAGAAATCTAATTTACAGTAATCTCACAGTTATCTTCCATCTGTTACATTACCTAGTATACATTCAGGATTTGTCTTGATACAACTTGATAGAATTTTAAAGACCCCATAAATAGTGCTTGCTTGATAATGTAGAAACTTCCCCAAAGCATTTCTGTCAACAGGGTTACCCTCAAAAAAGGGAGATTCACTAATTTAGTATCACTGTCTAATGTAGGTGAACAGTGGAGAGTTAATAAATGGAGAGTAAATAAGTAGGACTAAGGAATTGTAGATTTTAAAAACAAATTTTAGATCTTTATTTTCAATCTAACATTAAAATTAATGATTATAAATAATGAACCACCCATGGATAATAAAGGTTTCAGTGTTATTAGTGTATTATTACTTGTGCATTATTGTGTATTATTATTGTATTGTTTCCTGTTCCAAATGCAAATGCAGTTTATTTAATTTAGCAGGTTTGCTCACCCTGTCACAATTTTATTGCATTCTTAGCTCTTTGATAAAGGTTACTCGAGTAAAGAAAGCAAAAGATGCTGCCAAGTAATCCAACCTTGAGGATGTGTAGTAGTGATTAAGCAAACTTAAGAGATTTGACAGTTTTAATTCCTGCTAATAATGCTTTTCTGGTTTCTCTTCAACAGCTTGTTCTACTTCTGGCAGCTCCTTTCTTGCCCCCTGACACATCACATCCTTGCTCTTTCCTTAAGATCTTAAATAGTCAGGACTAGGGTTTTTTTTTTGACCTTGATGATATAAAAAATACGTAATACGCTTTTCATAGACCCCAGCAAAATTTTGCTTCTCCTCTAAACCAGTTAGTTGATGCTTTGAAAGGTGGCCCTTCCTGACCAGTGAGCCACAAAATTTATCTGGAAGGATCCATGTAGTGCGCTCCGTCCGATGGGCAGGATGGTTGGCTGCCTGGGCACCACAGTTCATTGCATAGTGCTGAGAGGTTGGTGTTGTCACTGGGCCTTAGGCACTCATCTGAAACATAAAAGGAAATTACAAGGGAAGGAAATTGTTTATTGATAAGCTCATGGAGAACAGTGAGTGTACCATCTTTCTATCAACTCTACATACTATTATGTGTAAGGGAAGGGAATGCAGCAGGACTTTACCCCCATCTGATGCCAGAGCCCATCTCTGATTTCGTGTTGGTTTTCTGAGAATTTGTTTTTAAGTAACAGTACTTTCAAAGGGGTACAAGCTATCCAAGGAGAGGGCTGGGGATGTGAAAACACAGCACTGTATGTAACTGAAAGCTTCTGGTGATTCCTTACAATGGTCAAGATGGTCATCTTTGCCTAATTCTGACTTTCATGTCTGTTGTCCGCTTTATGGTGCGTCCACAAGTTTTGTTGGCTAATCAGTACTGACAAAAGCATTTTGTCCTAAGTATTGAGATGTCCCCACCTCCCATTTCAGACGTCTCATGGAACCAGCAGTTGCTGACGAAACAGTCCCCGCATTGCTCCGAGGACATTCGGCAGAGATCTTTCCTGGGTCAGAGTGTGGGACAGAAACCGAACTCCACAGGGGAAGGAAGGAGGTGAGAACATAAAATAAGAGTTACTGCAGAGTGTGCGAATTCATGCTGACTCTCTCCTCCCCTATATCCCTGCTCAGCATTCTCTGTAGGTTAGGTTTCGCTGGCATGCTGAAGTTAGTATCTGAGAGCTTCATTCCCTGGCTTCTAAAGACACATCGCTTATTCCACTCCAGTAGAATAGTTCTTTAAGAATTATGGCATTTAAAAGAGGATGTTTACAGATTAATGTTTTCTTTCTGCTAGAAACTTTGCATATATTTTTTTCTTCTCTGATGCTTTGCTGTGTACTGAAAGGTAATGCCATTTCTTTCAGTAAACAGGGTATACGTTTGCCTAATATTTGCAAAAAGTGTATCTGTAATGAGAAAGCAACATCAGTTTTCTGTAGTGTATATACGAACAGTCTCCTTGCAAACTATGTCACCTCTATAAAGCTTGTATATTGTCTAAACTAATGTAGATTGAGGTTTGGTTACCTAATCCTCGTAACAAATTACTCATGTTTGAAAAAAAAATCTAATCTGTTAGCAGCTTTATGCAGTGAGAGATTGAATCGATCCTATGATTGCTGATAACAGAAAGCATGCATGTTTTTCCTCACCAAATTTTTGCAAGATAGAATGGCTGCAGATAGGAATAGTCCACTTTTCAGTGTTGATGGCTTTGTTTTTACCCAGTGAAGGGCACAGCCCCTCCATCAGTGACCCCCCGTCTGCTCTACCAGTGTGCCTCTGTGCACGTTCCCTTGGCAAGATGTTGTGCCTTGCCTTGACCCTTCTTCGTCAAGCCACATTGTGTTGGTAGGAGTCAGCACGTGGGTAATTACTTTGTGAGTTATTTTATTGAGCAATAGCAAGCAGATCAAGACTCTGAACCAAAATATGCATGCTGGTTGTTTGTTTTGTGTCAAAATGGCAGTAGACATCAGATTTATGCCTTGTGATGTACGCTTCTCAGGATAAAACCTCTGTTATTTTCAGCTGTAGTAATGCATTTTCTCTCCTGTATTTTAGGGCAGGCTGTCACGAGAACTTCCGATCCGGGCCATTGTCTCCCTGCTCTCCTGCTGCGCCGAGTCAGTCACCCAACAGGTACAAAAGGTCAATAAGGAATTTTGCAGACTGAATACATCTTGTGGGCACTGGTGAACCGCTGCAGTATAAATTGCATTAGTATTATGCAGATGCATTATTTATTCTTCTAAATGTGGCAATTCATAACCATCCACATAATAAACATGTAGCTCCCTCTTCCATATTTCCTGCCTGCTTCAGCAGTATCGTTGTGTTTTAAAATAACACAGTTCGGAAGGCAGCTATAGGACTGCTTGATCATTGAAATTTCAATGAAATTAAAATAGGATAATATAAGCTCCAGTCAAAGCAAGCACTAAAGCATGAGCTCAGAGCATTTAAGCCAAAGGATGTTGTCTTTATAGTGAAAAGTCACATGCTCAGGACTAAGATGTGTTCCTGGAGATTTGATTCTGTCTGTCAATGAGCTGTGCAGCTTTTAGTGAGATAGATGTTCCAACTCTAAATAAATAGGAACTGCAGCCTGACTGAATCACCGATAATTTGGGATATATTAAAATCGGTTAGCTTATTAAGTAGGGCAATCATACAACACAGAAACCATAGAAAAACTTTGTTATATGTCTTTAAATGACATTTTTCTTCAGATTTGATAGCAAAGCCTTCTTTCCAATGCCATTTGCATTGTCATGAAACTACTGAGATTTTTTTATGTGAACAGCTTCTCCTATTTTTGCTAATAGTAGCTGCAATTTTGATGATATTGCAAATCATTTATCACTACACATAACTATTCTTGATAGCTACTTCATATCATTTAGCAGCTGTAACCTGATCTGAGTCCCTTTTCCACGATCTTCTTCTGAAATAAATCTTAGTTTTGAAAATAATGGATAAGATGTAATCAATCCTCCCAGTAAAACATTAGAAAACTTCTCAAAAAAAATCTCAAAGCACTTTATTCTTTGATTCTTCTATTGTCCGTATAATAAATCTGATAGTGGAGAAGAAGTGGAAACAAATGTGGACTCTAGGATAATGTAAAAAGGGATGGGAGCAGAAGGGTTATGGTTGTAGCTGAGGAGAAGAATCCAACAGTTATTCTAAAAGTAGTAACAAGAATGAAACAAGAAAAGACACTGAGGTGCCTGTGCTGCCAATGTACATGGTAGGATAGAAAATGATGTGCTCAGTAGTGACAGAGATTAGATGGAGGCAAGGACAGTTTTTGGTTGTGATGACTCTTTGTGCTGCTTCTGTGTCTTCTGAAAAAAAAAAAAAAAAAAATTTAATCATAATGCAGCCCATATCTGTCTCTTCTGGTGGCTTATTAGGTTGTTGCACCAAAAACATGAAGTGAGATATTGTAAATTTGCTTGTCTGTGTACAATTTCATCAAACCATCTTTTCAAAACACTTGACATATCCTGAAGTTTCTCTCCTGGTTTCAGCCCTGGCTGAAAAAAGCGTGGGTGACACATAATGACAGGGGATCCCATTCGTTCTCAGGCTCGTCTCACTAGATGAACACCACTTCTGACAGGCTGGCAGATAGGTGAGAAGGGAAGAGCGTGAAGCACATATAAGTGTACACCTGCACTGCCGTTAAAAACATTATGAAAAAGAGTACCTGGGGCCCAGCTGTTATCAAACAGCTGATTTATTAGAAATGTCTGGACAGGACTTAATCTTAGGGTGAGAGCTGAAGTATTTTTGCATTACAGATGAAGGTCTGATTTCAGCTTTTATCTAAACTACCTGGAGTATAACAGGCATGTATCTGCAGCAACATAGGCTAAACTGAGTTAGTAAGTGCCTGACTCCTGGTCTGTGCTACTGCAGTTATGTTGCTGCTTGAACTTAGCCAACTCATTTGGGTGTAAGAGCAGCATTCCTGCCTTCTGACCTGCAGTAAGCAAACCCATGTGCAAACAAATAGAGAAAATTCCAGACTGAGAATCCGAGTCAGGTAATGTATGTGAGTATCTGCTCTGATTGCTGCGTCATTGGCTGGGTCCTGGGCATCCACAGGCATGATTCTCATCCATCCAGGCCTCTTGCATCTCCCTTGATGTAGCACAGCAGACTGGCAAGGAAATGGGACCGAGCTTCTGTGCATTCAAGCATTTGAACTCCTCTGCTTGGATGGCAGATGTGCATCTGTGTGGCAGGTGTGCAGGCTGATTCAGCAGAAGCCTGCTTTAGCCCCAGGGCTCAGTCAGAAGCCCTCCTTATTTCAGACAGTTTTGAATCATACATGTCTTGTGTTAAACTGTCTTTTCAAGTAGAAAATGTCCTAATGGTTGAAGGGCCAACGTGCATTTCTGATGTGAAACCCCCCCCAGTGCTCCCTTCTCCCATCATTTCCCTCCCGCTAAACCTGTCCAAATATTTGTTTGTGTTTTAGTTACTGCTCTTTTTTTCTTACAACAATGTTTGTCTCCTAGGTCCGTCAGTGGAAAGAAGCTTTGTTCCACCTGTGGGCTTCCTCTTGGAAAGGGAGCTGCCATGATTATTGAAACACTTGGTCTTTACTTCCATATTCAGTGCTTCCGGGTACGTCTCTTATTGTGCTCACCTGCAGAAAATCTCAAGTCATCATCCAGTGTGAGGAGAGAGTGTATTAAGGTCTAGATGTGTCACTGGAAATGAGATGACCAGGGACTTGCACGCTTATTATGTTTATTTGTGGATAAGTGAAAGTAATACTGCTATACAGTCTATTGTCAGATATTAGATGAACTAAAATCTGTAACTTAGCAAGTAAACTTAGCTTCCTAACTTACAGAGGGAGGAATCATGTAACTTTCCGGTTGTACTTGTTTTCTAAATATAAAATTAGATATCTTGTGATTTTTTTTTCCTTGAATCTGGTCAGTTTGTAAGCTCTCTGACCCATGGCTGGAAAGCTTCGACTGTGGAAAGTCATCCAAAAATATTGCAAGATTTTATATTCTGAAGATTTTCTCAGCATTTCTGTGTATATCCTGGCTTTCACCAGAGTTCTAAACAGAAATACTTTTGTGTCTGTTCTTGAATGTCTCAGGAAATGACTCAAGGCAGTGTTATCTAGAGAACTCAGAGTGTCCAGCTGCATTATCCCGGCCCTAGTTGGTATTAGGTGTTTATGTAGCTTTTTTTTTTTTTTTTTTTTTGACATTTACTCAAACTAAACCTCTGGCCTCTAGAAGATTTTCCTGTGCAAACAGGCTGGCTCTAGAGTGCAACATCAAAATCAAGTGTCTCTTAAAACCACTTAAACTTTACCTCTGTATGAGTACTGACTGCTGAAATCCAGTCCTAAATGCTGTTGGCTCTGAAAAAAAAAAAAAAAATTGTTACTGATATGCAGTACTCCACAAGATTATGGGCTGGGTTCTGGGGGGTTATTTTTTCTCACTGTTCCAAAACATATTGAAACAAAAGTCAAAATTTTGGGAGAGTTGTGACAGATACTGGGGCATGACCTGTCATACTTTCTCTGTGCTTCAATTGACAGTGTGGCATTTGCAAGGGACAGCTGGGAGATGCAGCAAGTGGAACAGATGTCAGGATTAGAAATGGTCTTCTTAACTGCAACGATTGTTACATCCGATCCAGAAGTAAGTATCAAATCCTGTCCTAAGGTGGATGTGTATTTTTGTCTGATTTCGTGGTGAACTCTAACAGCACTGTTACCATCCTTTTAACTGACGGGCTCTTCTCCTCCTGGAAAAAAACGTTGTGCCAAAATGGCTTTGCAACTTAGGTATAGCTTTGCTATAGAAAGGGGAGCCTTCCCATCTCATTTTAGTCATCCTCTTGTATGAAAAAGACTTCCAAGCTCATTAAATCTTGCACAAAGGATCTTTTTTCAGCAATACTAGGCTATAAGGCAGTTGCTCTGCATAAACTTCTACAGAGTGCACACACATTGCATATCCTGAAGGCTTGAATCTGTTACCTCACACGAGTCAGTATAGCTGTCTCCACTAGATCTAGGACCCTGGGCCTTATTTTGAGAAGGTCTTTTTTTTTTTTTTGTTATGTCTCCAGGCATCTATTTGCAGAGGAAAGGATGAAGGAAAATATTAGGAACTTAATGTAACTTACCACAACGAATCCTTGTGGTGGGATCCTCAGACATGTGCTAATGTGTTGCTTGCTACAAGTTTTGAAGAATGAGCCAGACAAAGAGATTTTTGACATTGCATGTCAAAGAAATCTCAATGCACTTTTCCTGCCTTACGTTAGATCACTTGAAAATCCTTTCTAGTGCTGGATGCCAAATTGCTAGAGCATTTCAGAAAGCACGGAAGAAATCCATGGGAGTAATCATTGCCTTTTTGTCACGTTAGTGTTCAGTATACTCACTGCCTACAGCTGTAATTGATGGGCAGGGATATAGAGCACTTGTTATTTCTCCTCCTCTACCTCAAAAGCAATAGAAATCCAGGAGTAGGAAAGATACCTCCCCACCTTTGCTAGTAGAACAGATTCTTTTTCCTCTGCTATTTCAGGTCAGAGATATTTACCCATCAGCAGAGCTAGAGGGTGCTGTCGTATAACTATTTCTGTGGTGATTTTTTATTTATTTATTTATTTTTTAATTCTGGTAAGAAATGCTAGCAACTCCTTGTATTAATTATTTAACCTAACACATTCAGAAATAGATTATCCTCTTCAGGCTTGATACCATTTTCTTTTCTTTTCTTTTCTTTTCTTTTCTTTTCTTTTCTTTTCTTTTCTTTTCTTTTCTTTTCTTTTCTTTTCTTTTCTTTTCTTTTCTTTTCTTTTCTTTTCTTTTCTTTTCTTTTCTTTTCTTTTCTTTTCTTTTCTTTTCTTTTCATCCTTTTTGCTTAAACAAGAATTGAGGTTCCTTAAGGACAGATGAAGGCTCAGTAAAACTGTATATCAGTCTATATGCTGTAGGTTCCATCTTCTACCAATGTAGTGCTATAAAATGCAGTACAGAACTGTGTACACTGTTTTGTGCTGTAAGGTTTTGCATTTGTGCATATCAAGCACAATGGGAACTGTGTTGATGACTGTGGGAATAGGTTTTGTGTAAACGTATGGTTTCTGAAAAATAATAATGGGAAGGGTTTGTCGTTTTCCTACAAATTGCCTCTTCCTGTTGTGTCCACTCCTCGTGCAAAATCTCAAAATATGGGCCATGTAAATTTAAATTACACCTTTTTTTTTTTTGACAATTTCAAAAGGACTTTGAAATTTTGATGTCACGAAACTGCAAACACGGTTAGTCACTCATTTTTGACTAAAATTTGACAGACTCCACATCTGAACTGAAGAACAAAGGGGCACAATACTAGTGTTTTGCCTTCCAGTTCCAGGAAGTCTGATGCTAAATATAAAGTCAGTTGCCTGATTCCACAGCTCTTGCCTACCTCCACCCTTGCCTATGTCTGAATACCTACACAGCAGTGCACACAACTGATATTCTCTGACAAACCCAGGATTAATCAGTATTGCTATAAGATGCTTAGGGACATCTCAGTGAGATATTTTTGCTGCAGAAACTTGTTTATTTGAAACTGTGGGGGATTTTGTTTCAAAATCAACTACCAAAAAACTTAAGGGAGAAACACATTAAAGATTATGTAGTAGTCCAGAGTATATTTCTACTTTTAAATAAAAGTGGATGGGATTTTATTGGTAGGTTATTTCTCGACAACAAAATCTCACAATTCTAGTTACTGAGGGAGCTCACTATTCAGTGCCAAAAATGCAAAGAGTTAGAGATTTGTGAATGTTGAAATCAAAGGCAAGCAGTAAATTCAAGAGATTCCCTGTATGGCCAGATAACACAAGGGCTCTGTATTGCCACGTAACACAAACCAGGCACAGCTGAAGATGACTCATCAGTCCTCTGCTTGACTGTTTTGCCACTGCAGAGCCTAATAGTAAGTACACCCACAAGTACTTTCCGAGTAAATGAAATAAAAGTGCATGCAGAATGCAAACAGCACAAAACCTTTCTTTGCAGTTAGTGCCCCAACTTTGCAGGAAGGAAGAGAAGCAGGGCACCAATGACACGTATCTCCAGATGTGTTTTTTTAAAACGATAAGGCTCATATCAGGAAAATCCTACGTACTCCATTGGTTCAGGAGGAATGTTTGTTAAAATTTGTAAACCAATGACTGAATTCTGTTTGTTTCTTTCTTTCCAGCTGCTGGACAGCCAACTACATTGTGACATGACTTTCGGTCCTAATTACTTTGAAGAAGGAACTCTCTTCTCATATGTATCGGCTGCCTCCAGACAATCATTTGTAAGAGCTTGAATCATGGACATCGTGGCCCTCATCTCATTTTGAAAAACTCATAAAAGCGCTGCACCTGCTCCTTTAAAATGCAATATGTTGTTTTGCCCTTTCTTAAGAAATTTGCAACACATATATGACCATATTTGGTAAGGCAAAGCCTAAGTACTATAAAAAAAATCCCACATTTTCAGGTATGTCTATGATTTTCAGTCTGTTACTTTGTCCTCCTGAAAGTAATAAGGAAATAAACATGCAATAAAGCTGTTTTGTGTTAATATTTCTAGGAATTAAAATTTTGAGTTTACAGAACCTTTATAGAATATGCCAAGTTGAGATGAGAAGTAATTTTAAGGTAGTATCTAATCAGTGCATTTGAAAAACTAAGCATCACAGCACATGACTTCTCTGTTATAACTGAAGCTATAACTTTTTTTATACAGAGACTAGTTTGATAATACATCCTGTAATTCTGAAACATTTGTGTTTATATTACCTTCAGTGGAGGGTAGGAGTTATACAAATAAATTATTGCACCTTTAGTGATAGGATTTTTTGTTTGTGTACCTCAAGTAATGTTCATGACTATAGCTCAATATTCTCTCAAATAAAGATTTCTTCATTAAACCTAAAGACTGCATACCGTTAACGACTGCAAGATTCCTGTCAGGAGCAATCCTTCTTTCTAAGTTCAGCAGCTGATGTTGTCATTGAATTTGGTGAAAGGATGATGTGGGGGAGAGGCAGCGGCGTGGGTAGATGCAACTGAACTGCGAGCCTGCAAGCTGCAGTGTGATGGTTACAGTGAAGCTGTTCTGTCTGGCGTGGTGCTTTCCCACTGACAGTCTGAGTTGTTTTGGGATCTGCTCTTTCCCTTGCAATCATTACGTTTGGTTGAAGTCTCGTGGGGAGAAATATGTGTGGTTTGGGTCCCCTCCAGAATCATCACACAAGTTAAGGATGAATTATGCAGCCAGGAACCTGTGTTCCTCCAGACATCCACCCCAACAAGATAAGCAAAGCCTGTGAGCCTGGAAGGGAGGCAGGGAGGAGGTTGATGGCAGTAGGTGAAAGCTTCCCCCCATTTGGGCCAGTTTTCCTTTATGCCTTTTGGTTAAGACTTTGCTCCTCACTGAAGTGTTCCAGCAGCTCATGGAAGCAACAGCCAGAGCTGTGTGAGTTTATCAGAGTATAGACAAGTTCAGGGGATGTATTACAGTTGTAAAATTTCATAGCACAGTTTGGTAAAGGAAATGGTTATTTAAGATATCCCACTTAAGCTCTTTGAGATGCAACTTAAAATGGAGGGAAAAAGTTACTTATCCTGCCTTAAAACCATGATAAATTAAAAGATTTGTTTTATGTCTGTGTACATCCATTGTCTTTTGATGTGTTGGTAAATGGAAATTAAGTCGTTATTAGGGAAGCAATAATTTTGAGTTGTAATATAGCTAGCAACTATTGGTTTAAACATTAGACAATTGCTTGCATGTGAGTTACATGCGCGTGCAGAACTGCGTGTCATTGGCAACACATGTACAACGCTGTCATGTGAGGAGATTGTGGAGATCTGCTGGAAAGTTACATGTTACTTCCTTCAATTTGTGCCTTAGAAACTGCAAAGCTATTGCACACAGTCAGTGCTGACTTATGGATGCAATAAATCAAAAAAAAAAAAAAATGAAGTCCTTCACGGACTTCACCTGGGGAATATTTTTAAAAAATTAATCAAAAATCAGAAAAAATGTTTTGGAAATGAAACAGTGAGTCCAATATTTGGATTAACCGATTGCATGACTTACTGCTGAAAGGTTTTGATAACCAGGAGGTTTACACTTTGCATGTGGACGTCACAGCTTTTTCCTGCAAATAACGTGTAACATGGAAATTCAGAAGCAGATTTTATAAACTACTTTGTGCATCTGTGCAATTCCATGGGCTGCATTAAGGGTATGTGAACAAACAATGCCTGGGCCTAATTTCTAACCAAGACCTTTAATGCATGCTCGTGCATCTGTTTGGTGTGAGTCACTGCTTCCCCGTGTGACGTGGTTTAGATGTGCAGACTGCTCACAAGTGTACAAAAGGGTTGGTTGTCACAGAGGTTAGATCCGCTTCTCAATAACTTGATGCTAAGAGCCCGGGCTGTGTAGGAGCATGGCTGGGACTCAAATGCATGAGCAAGGGCTGGGGAGGGGGTGTGCATAGCGCTGCAGGCACACGGCTGCATCCCAGAAGCTGCTTAGTTTGTCCCAGTGTCTATCCCTTCGTTTCATATATGCATGTTTTGGTGACGTTAGTTGTATGTAAAGCAAAACGAAGCAGCATCCTCAGACTACAGCTTTTCCCCCCAGGGAGCATCTATTCACCAGCACAGAATAATTTTCAGCAGTTTTCTAAATTGTACTTGCCAACTGCTGATGTTTGATTTACATTTCCTTTGGAATCTTATACGGCAAATTCATTCAGTCTAAAATCTTCCTTCCTTTTCCTTCCTTTTCCTTCCTTCAGGTTAAACACACAAGTATGATACATTTCTTACCAGGAACTTTAAGCACAGAAACAAAAATAACGCTTTACTACATTTGAACTACCATGTAAATGTATTTGTTGCAAAAATGATTTATTATTGCTAAGCAAGTACAATATATGTAATGGATTTTAGATGTTTCAGAATTTATTTAGCCTCTTACTCCTTCAACAGGTGTCATAACCCATCTGTATTTCACTACCCCACTTGCCATGGTGTATTTTTCCTTACTCTTGCTATGTAGTAGTGTTATTGATGCAGTACATCTGTAGTTTTCAGTGAATGTCCTAAAGGTTGGTGAACCAGAAGGGGACCATCCTTCTGTGCATGTCCACTCAAGGACAAGGATCGCTGTCCTGGCTGGGACTGATGTTGAATACCAATTGCGCTAATCTTTCCTTGGTTTTATTTATTCTAAAATGCCTCTGGAAATTAGGAAAACTTGTCTAAAATGCAACAGCTTTTATAGTAAATGTATGTTTATAAATAAAACATTGATTACCTTTGGTGGTGTTGATTTTACTTATTAACAACCAGCTTCTCGCATTGCATGCGATATGTCTGAGATGGGATTGTGGAGCACGAACATCCCATCGGTAAAAGCTGCTGCTTTACTTACTTTGTGTACTTTTTCTTCCCTTTAATTCTGGTATGGTGTCTTGTGGTGAATATTACTGTGGTGATAATCATTTTCTGGTGAATGCAACCTGGCAGCCCCAACCCAATCAGAGCCACTTGTGATGTGAAAAGGGCACCGGTGGGTGCGCAGCCCCCAGCAGGTATTTATTGCTGCAATAATCCAGTAGGCTGTATAAAATGTCTATATGTTGCCTGCTTGCCTCACCAGCACCGTAACCTGCTCACGTGCCCGGGTGACAAAATGCCCCACTTGGGGGACACGACTGCACGGAGGGGTGCTGCACACCAGGCCCAATCAGGTTGCCGACCCTCGTCTGGAAAAAAAAAAAAAAAAAGATGCTGGAAAAAAAATAAATACATCTCTTGTAAAGGCAAGCAGGGCTCCTGTATACCTCTAAAAGCCTCCGGTGGGAATGTAATTTCATCTGAATTTCCTGATAAGGGGAAATGACTGAACTGGAAGCCACTCAAGTTTTGCAAGCAATAAGAGCCCAAAACAGAGATGGAAAGTACAGGCTGGGCTGTGACTGTCCTCACAGCATTGTGTGGGGTTGGTATTTGGTGGATTTTAGTTTTCTTGTTCATTTTTTTTATAAAATGCAGTGTGAGCTAAACAAGCAGGAGGAAGGCTTACCCCTCTGCTGGGCTCCAGCTGCTGCTCTGTGGGCCTTACTGAAGACTCCGTGCTCCACAAGGGTAGCTGCTGGAGCTCTCCTCCCCACGGCATATGGGTTTTTAAGTCATTTAGGGGGAAAAAAAATCCGTTATTTGAGACAAATTTATGAGTCATTGCTAACTCATCCACAGAGTCCATCTGCTTCACCTCACGTGACGTGCAGCAAACTCTCCTGGCAAACGCCACCCCCGTGGGTCACATCTGCAGGTTTCCAAGCAGGTAGCCTGCTGCCTGACACCTCCTGCAGCCACTCGCAGGGCTGTAGGAACTGAAGAAAAATCAACAGAAAGGCAAATTTTTCCTTTTTTCTGTCGCTTCTGACTACAGGTAACGTATTGCTCTGATAATGAGCACAAGAGCTGAGACGTGCCCCCACTCCTCTGGAAACTCTGTGGCACTTCCCATGCTGAGTGTGAGAACGGAGTAAGGCCCAAGGGACAGAAAATATCCCAGATGGTTGGGTCAAGCCTCTGCTTCCAGAAAGACAGCCACTGACACCTGATAGCAAACAGTGCTAGTGTGAGGCGTGGTATCTCTTAAAAGGAATCTTTTGCCTAGTGTCTGGTTTTCGGAAGCTCACTGAAACATGCTTTCTGCACAGCACATCTGGCGCCTGACACCTTTACTGTGAAAAGGCAAAGAGCCTCTCTGCCAAGATTACACCTCAAGCATGGGGCGCCTGTGGGAAGCACTGGTGCTCTCCACAGTATGCCCAGACTTTGAGGCTTCTGGATCATTTTGCATGACCCTAAACATAATTACCTATATATATAAAAAATAATAATAAAATAAAATAAGAACTACATAAAAATATTTTAAAAACAAGAGCTGACCTATGCTTTCAGGGCATTCACAAATACGCATGACTGGAATCAGTAACTGTATTCCCAGAAACATGATCACCAGATGTTAGCCACTTGTGCTATTCCTATGTAGGTTCAACAGTGTAACCTCTGACAATCAATATTTTCTGCAAAGGAGAAGTTTTTCTCTATTTAACCCTGTCTGAGAGAGCATCAGTATTTATCTTGGGAGAAGATAAAACCACTTGTCTGTACCAGGTTCCTAAGGATGGGATAAAAAAATTGTCATGGTTAACTGATGCTTTTGCTGCCTTGCTTGGTACAGAGCATGGTGCTGTAGTTCCACTTGCAAAGCTGCATCTTTATGTCACCTTTGCTGGACCTGATTCTGATGGGCTGAGGTGATGATCCTGATGGACCTTTGGGTGAACCAAGGGCTGAGGAGCTCGGGAGGCCGCACAGCCTGGCACATCAGGGTGGAGGGGAGAAAGCCTGAGCTGCATGAGCCTGGGTCCTCTGGGCACACTTCTCCATATACTGATGGATTTTGCGTAGGCGGTTCTTTACCCTTGAAGCTGGGCTTTTCCACGTGAGGCTGGATGTTAAATGGGAGCCCCTTACCGAGACAAAGCACTTGAGCAAGGTGGATAAAAAGGTTAGGATAGAAAATTATTGCTCAATACTTGGCTTTCTCAATCTCTCTATCTTAAATAGGAAAAATCTGCTTACAGCATGAATGCAACATGTGAATACCTTTCTCCTTGCTGCTTCAAGGTTTTTTGAGCTTCTTCTGTACCTGAGCGGCATGTGGCTGTGTTCATGCACTTGGCAGTGACCCTGTGTGCTGCCAACCCAGGCGCTGAAGGCTTACCCTGTGCAGTAAAAAGTAATCAGCTTCCCCACAGATGCCAGAGCTAAATTGGAAGACAGAATTTCTCCAAATTTATCAATACACCATTCTTCAATCTCTTGCCTCGTTTCAAAAAATGGGTTGTAAACAAATATGGTGGCTGCCCACTGGGCTCTGAGCAGCTGCAAGCACACGGGGCAGAGACTGCCTGCATGGGGGCTCCTGCAGAAACACGTAAAAAAGGAGGCGATTGAAGCAACCCAGTTGTGGCAGGGCTATGTGCATGCTGCGCTGATGATCTTTATTAAATCCCTGTGGCTAGCAAGGCAAATGTGGTAAGATGTATTTCTGCATGGTCTGCCCTAGTACCTTTCATCACAGAAAGAAAACATATTCTACAATATCATTTTACTGCTTTATAGTTTTAAGGAAAAATGTCTCTGTTTTGACAGTACCGAGCTGCAGCTTGAACACAAATACCAATTACTTCCTTCACATTGCACAAAAACAAAACAATTTGGACAAGATTTGAATCATTTTTAATACCTCAATACCTGAGCACCCGGCTTCAGGGACTTGGGGGTTTTTGAGAATATCACATCCCCACACAATCAGACATCTTCAGCAGGCCTCAGGTTAGATAGCCAGAGCCACAGGGCATGTTTGAAAGCACCAGATTTTGTTCATTGGGAGTCTCAACTAAGTTTCAAGTAGTACAGACAGAAAAGGGAGACGAGTCTGCAGGTTCCTCCCAGCCCACATGTGCGATGACTGATGTTTACAGGGCCCAGCATCCCCAGAAAGCAGCACAGCACTTTGCAATCATTACTGGAATAGGATTGAAAAACACCCCTGTGAGGCAGAAAGATGTTGTTACGTGTCTGTTTCCAAACGGATAAATGGGGCACAGAAACTAATTTGCCGAGAGAAAGAATGTCTTCACTCAGCGAATTTAATTTGGGCTACAACCTGGATGAGCTATGGCAATAAAGATGTTGGAAACTCTGTACAGAGAGCAAAAATGAAATTTAAAAAAAATGCAACAGAGCATGCACTTAGCTGTTACCGTGACCACAGTGCAGTGCTGCAGAGCTCAGAGAGACCTGGCTATCTGGCTACTGCAGCAAAAGCCAGCAGAGCAAGAAGCCCGCCAGGAGCGGAGCCAGCGTGTCTAGGAGTAAGG